TTCTAGCTCATTCATGGGTCAGAGTCACAACAGTTCTTCCTAGAGGACGGAAATGTCAGAGATTAACCCGTTTCCAGCAGGATTTGAGGATTAACAAATTGACGGCAACGCGTTGGGATACAATGAAAACAATCAACTGATAAATGGCACTATTGCTTTGACTTCTTACTTATGCTAGTCTCCTGAGATAAACAGAAATGAGTGTCATCTTAAGAATAAAAGGTAAAAGAAGAGGTGTACAAAAAATACATAGCATTTATGGAACCATGTGCCCCGTGCTTGGCCTGTGCTCTCTCTGCAGTGCCTCTTTAAACTGTTAGTCACGCAAGGGCTCTCTGAAGGGTACAGGGCAGGAAATATGGGAACAGAAGCAAGTGTGCTGCTTTAGTTCACCCACCATTAGTTTACGCACCAAATGCCAATGATTAGAGTGAGAAAGCCCTCTTCAGATTGCAGTCAGCAAAGTGACTGTCAGTGGTGGCCCTGAAATCCAAGTACAGATAGCACTGGGCTTATCACTCGAAATGTTTCTGAAAACCCTGAGTTCTGAGGCAGCAAAGCGCCCTACAATGAGGTCCTACGACCCTCAGTTCAAATCCCACCTGAAACTTGGGTAAGACTCACCCTCTAAACTGTAGATTCCTCCTCAGTACCAAGAGATACTTGGAGCACACGCCACCCTGGGCTGTAGTGAGGATTACACGCGAATTACATGAAATACATGAACAGTGTTCAGCTTCCAGAAAGCGCTCCCTTACTGCTGGTCCCCTCACCCCACCTCCATAGTTAACTAAAAAAGTGGGTTTTACTGTGGTCATAGCTGTTGCTTTTCTCCTGGTAACCTGTAACAGAGGCTGGTGATCACCTTTACTACTAGCTATATTCTCCTCCACAAGGCTAAGAATTAAGCTCCTTAGTAAAGAAGGCTGAGGGTTTTTTTATTTTTGTTTTACTGTTGCTTGTTATGTTTCTAATAAGGAAAATGCTTTCATGTGCTCTGAGAAAACTGTACTGTGATATGCCTGCTGTTTAATGTACCAATTCTGATTAAGAATAGAGGGTAACAGAAGAGCTTATTCAAAAAGTGGATTTCAGGGTCTCTCTTGCATAAAGTCAGATTATATAGGTCTGGGGCCTATAGCTATAGTTCTAACAAGCACCCCTGTGGATGCTGAGAGTGAGTGGTTCTCACCACACAGTAAGAGACACTGATGTCATCAGCTTGCAACCCCAACCTCCTAGAACATCACTTCCTAAAGGCTACAGCTTCTGCTACAGAGCAACGTGAAACATCATCACTGAGCCTGAAGGATAAAAGTATTCAACCTTAAAACCACACATCATCACATATTCTAAGTCAAATAATCCACACTTTAGCATGTATTAATATTTTGATAGAATAAAACACTAACAGATACTACATAATGATTATCCATGCTACAGGTTAACATACTCTGGGAACAGTCTAAAACCTCATGCTATTAAATATAACCATTCCCGGGCTTCCCTGGTGGCGCAGTGGTTGAGAGTCCGCCTGCCGATGCAGGGGACACAGGTTCGTGCCCCAGTCCGGGAAGATCCCACATGCCGCGGAGTGGCTGGGCCCGTGAGCCATGGCTGCTAGGCCTGCGTGCCCGGAGCCTGTGCTCCGCAACGGGAGAGGCCACAGCAGTGAGAGGCCCGCGAACCGCAAAAAAAAAAAAAAAATATATAAATATATATTATAAATCTAAATAATTAAACAATCCCTCTTTTACTTTCACATTTCCTAGGTGCTAAACTTTGCATTTTGCCCCTCTGTCTACCCAGCTCAGCAGGTAGAAGCTGAGAAGTCTGTGGAAGATTGAAAAGACAGCACGACAGCTAGCAGCACATCCCCTCCTTGCTAAAGTACGCTAGTGAAAAAGCAAGGTGTAGGAGTTTTCCAGAGAACAGGACTCCGGGCAGAGTTCCCAGGAATGCCTCCCCTGAGTGTGTGGAAATGCCTTTTCCCTCTCACCTCAGTCCCTTCCTGGATGTGGGGGGAAAATGCAGAAAGACACTAAAGAAAATACTGCCAACAGTACCCTAACCTTTGAGACCAAAGACGACAACCTATATAGAAAATGGAGAGAAGGGGTTTCATTGATGTTCTGTGTTATTTCGGGTGATGGCCAGTCAGGTGTGACCACAAAAGGAGACACAGAAGGGGCTCAGGCAAACCAAGTTTCTTATATTCACAGGTGTTAGAAACAGGACACTTGGCACACCACACAGGGCCACATGGGAAAGCGCCAACACCATCCAGGAGGCAGAAGTGGTCGGAGGGGAGAGCCTAGACCACGACCTTCGTTAAGAGTTTCTGCAGCAAAGGCAAGGCAGGGATAGGTAAACCGTTTAGGAGTGGCTGGTCTGAATAATTTCACAGGTGCTAATAGGCTGTGGGAGTGGTCCCTAGGTGTCTGGTAGAGGAATATTGCCTCCTGGGCTGTTGGAGCCAGTAGAGGTGCTGTGGCTCTGGACCGGAAGTCCACACATCAATGGCGCTCACCACGCTGAGCCCTCGGCTGACTCTAAGAAGCGGTCGGCCCGAAAGGGGGCAGGCTCTCCCCAGGCAGAAAGCATCACAATACACAGAACATCAAAACTACAAATAATACAACAGTACTATCTACTCCCCTCCTGCTTATTAAGAGGAGATGGAGCAGCCTCATTCTGCTCCACAACTGCATGCCCCTCCGCTTCATGCCAAGGGAACCAGAGATGATGACCTAGAAGAAATTGACTTCCCAAACCCACTCAGTATGCTGAATGTGACACATTTGCTCTCAGCTTATAATTGGGACGCGCAAAGCTTTTCTGGGCACAATACAGGGGGAAGGTGGTAGGAAGTGTTGGTAAGGGTGGAAATGAGATGGAGGAACCATGGTGAGTTTTAATTGCCTAAAAAGCAACTCTCGGCAACTTCTGGGAGACTTCTGAAGAAGAAAACAAGTCAGCTTCAGAAAGAATCATTGACCTCATTTCCAAATCTAACAAGAGCTGCAATGCAGGGCACTGCCCTCACCCAGGCAGTCCTGCAAACACGCGATCATCTCTGGGAACTATTCAGCTGACCAGCATCAAACAACTGGCTCCATTTCCACACAAGTACATCTGCTAATCCATCTTTCATGGATTCCAGCAATATGAACTCCAGTAAATTCCATGCTTAGAATAGAGGAGATGCCTACAAGGGCTTAAGGCATCCTGACTCAGGATCTGTTTAAAGTCAAGCATCATCTTAGTTTGAGGCACACTTTTTGCAATCCCCCTTTGCTACCCCAATTCCACCTACCCCACCATACAGCCCTTCTCCACTCCCTTCCCCTCTCACAACCCACACACGGTGAACGATTGGGGTACTCTCTTTTCTTTACAAATGATACTGATTTCTCTGCATTTAAAGTCTAGCTCTTGAAATATCAAGTCAGGTAAACATGCAGGACATGCTAATTAACAGATAATAAAGGCTAACTGTTGCGCTTTTATTATTTGCCAGTCTGCCAAGTGTTTTATATGCCTTCTCTTCTTGAATCCTGACAATGCTAGGAACCAGGTACTATAACCATCTTCATTTTCCAGAGAATGAAATCAAGACCCTGCAAGATTAAGTGATTTGCCCAAAGTCACATGGCTACCCAGCAGCAAAGTCAAAATTTAGATCCGGGTTGCCTGACTTGAGAGCCAAAGCTGTAATAACTAGACTGCTAATGAGACACGGTTAGTTTCCATGAACGTCTGATTTAGGCTAAACAGGCATGCTCTCTCCACGGGCGCTCTAGCAGCCTCCGGGGCCACAACACAGGGACACACCATGCCTCAAGAAGGCATTTCAAACCTGGCAGCACATGGAGCAGCCCACGCCAGGTGGTACTCGCGCTCCAGATCCTCTAGAGCTGCCGTAAAGTGGCCACAGGTAAACGTCCCAGACAGGGTAGATACTGGCTTGACAAAGTGGTGTAGCTTTTTTAAAACAAGTAAAAAATAAAGGGGATAAATTAACAGCATTATAGGACAATCATGATGAGATTTAAGGATCTTTGTGCTAGCACTGCTGATCTTGAATAGACAGCTCAAATAAGCTTAACTCATGGCTTTCATTCAAAGAATTAACCTGTTGCCAAGTAAAGTGTCTCAAAGAACTGGAATGCTGTCAAACTAGCTTAACACCATGAAATGGTACAACTTAATGAGACTGTAAATCTTGAGGAACACAACACAGAGCTCCCTCTCCTAAGACTGATATCGAAAGCGGTTTGCTTTCTTTCCTGGATGCACACACACAGTGGTAGGCGAAATACTGTAACTAAAAAAAAATTTTTTTTGAACATCTTTATTGGAGTATAATTGCTTTACAATGTTGTGTTAGTTTCTGCTGTATAACAAAGTGAATCAGCTATATGTATACATATATCCCCATATCCCCTCCCTCTTGCATCTCCCTCCCTCCCTCCCACCCTCCCCATCCCACCACTCTAGGTGGTCACAAAGCACCGAGCTGATCTCCCTGTGCTATGCGGCTGCTTCCCACTAGCTATCTATTTTATATTTGGTAGTGTATACATGTCAATGCTACTCTCTCATAAAAGCTTTTTCTTTAATTGATAGAACTTCTTCCACTTTTCCCTTTACCTAACTCCTTTCGAATCATTACATAAAAATTTTTAAGTAAAAAATCTTAAAGAGCTGAAACAGTCATGCTAAACAGTTTTCTTTAAACATATATTCATCCTCCTGAGACATAATACACATTCCCAAGAAGGGAATCCCTGACATTAAAATTAAACCAACCAATCAGGGGTTCAGGGCTGAATCTATAGTATGGGGAGGCTATACTGATTCTTGCAAATCAGTAACTGGCCTGAGGTCTATATGGAGAAGGGAAAGAGGGGGAAAAAACCAGAAAATTTTGAATGAATGGAAAAGAAATCCAAATTCGGCAATGTTTGTTCCTGAGAAAAAGTGTGACAACTACTCACCTGTCTACTGCTTCCACGTCAAAGCAAAACCGCTTCTCAATAGAGTCCGTTTTCCGCCGTGTGCAGGATTTGAGGGTGACTGATTCATCTTCTCCCTGTTGGGAACACACAGACTATCAAGATGGGGCCAGAATTCAGGCCATGCTCCTCTCCAGGACAAACGTGCCACATACACAGAAGTGGTCATTTCATCTTCTCAAACCTGAGTGTTCAGGACCACAGGAGGTGGAAGGTTGGTCATAAACCTTCTCAGACCACAGCCTCATGCAAATAAAATCTGTAAGCCATGTTTAATACTTAGAGCCCAATGTCTTGAGTACTAACAGATCACGATGGTACAGCATCAACCCATGCTAGGTTAAATTCTTGTTGATATTGGCTTAAATAGGTTTAATTTATAGGTTTGATAAGAGTTGAAACAAGATTACCTTGAGGTCTCCTTCCAACTCTGGATTTCTATGACCTTGGTTCAATGGTCATTTCTCAGGGAAACATTTCTGGACTGGGTCAAACACCCCCAGACATGTTCATATAGCACCATGTACCCCTCCTTCCCTCACAGCACTGATCACAGGTAAGATTTGCTGTTGCTGTAAGTGATGATTCAAATAATGTCTCTTTCCTCATTAGGCTCTAAGCTCCTTGAGGGCATACTGTACTGTGTCTGTTTTTGCTTACCCTTGTGTCACCAGCGGCCAAACAGGCCCAGGAACAGAGTAGGTATGCAATAAATATGTTTTAACAGCTTTACTGAAGTATAATTTTTAAATTTATAATATACTGCACATGTTCAAGCATACAACTTATGAGTCTTGACATCTGTATACATCTGTGAAATCATCACCACAATCAAGGTAGTGAACATTTCCATCAGCCCCAAAAGTTTCCTGGTAAGTCCCTTTGTAATCCATCATCCCTCCACCCAGTCCATTCCCAGGTAAACACTGACTCTGTTCTCTGTCATCACAGATTAGTTTGCATATTCTGTAACTTTATACAAATGGAATGCTCTTTTACGTCTGACTCTTTTCACTCAGCATAATTCGTTTGCGATTCACTCATGTCGTACAAATCAAGTTTATTTCTTTTTGCAAACGATATGACCAATAAGGGGTTAATATCCAAAATATAAAAACAGCTCATGCAACTCAACAACAAAAAAGCAAACAGCTCAATTAAAAAATGGGCAGAAGACCTGAATAGATATTTTTCCAAAGAGGAAACGCAGATGGCCAACAGGCGCATGAAAAGACGCTCAACATCACTCAACATCAGAGAAACACAAATCAAAACCACAATGAGATATCACCCCACTCCTGTCAGAATGGCTATCATCAAAAAGACCACAAATGACAAATGTTAGTGAGGATGTAGAGAAAAGGGAACCCTTGTACACTGTTGGTGGGAATGTAAATTGGTTCAGCCACTACATAAAACTGTGTGGAGGTTCCTCAAAAAACTAAAAATAGAATTATCATATGATCCAGCAATTACACCCCTAAGTATATATCCAAAGAAAACAAAACATTAATTCAAAAAGATACATGAACCCCAATGTTCACAGCATTATTTACAATTGCCAAGATATGAAAGCAAGCTAAGTGTCCATCAACAGATGAATGGATAAAGAAGTAGTGGTGTACAATGTTCACTGCAGCTCTGTTTACAAGAGCCAGGACATGGAAGCAACCTAAGTGTCCACTGACAGATGAATGGATAAAGAAGATGTGGCACATACATACAATGGAATATTACTCAGCCATAAAAAGAAACAAAATTGAGTTATGTGTAGTGGGGTGGATGGACCTAGAGTCTGTCATACAGAGTGAAGTAAGTCAGAAAGAGAAAAACAAATACCGTATGCTAACACATATATATGGAATCTTAAAAAAAAAAGGTTCTGAAGAACCTAGGGGCAGGATAGGAATAAAGACACATGTAGAGAATGGACTTGAGGACACGGGAGCCGGAAGGGTAAGCTGGGACAAAGTGAGAGAGGGGCATGGACATATATACACTACCAAATGTAAAACAGATAGCTAGTGGGAAGCAGCCACATAGCACAGGGAGATCAGCTCACTGCTTTGTGACCACCTAGAGGGGTGGAATAGGGAGGGTGGGAGGAAGACACAAGAGGGAGGGGATATGGGGATATATGTATATGTATAGCTGATTCACTTTGTTATACAGCAGAAACTAACACACCATTGTAAAGCAATTATACTCCAATAAAGGTGTTAAAAAAAAAAGTAGTGGTGTACACACACACACACACACACACACACACACACTGGAATGCTACTCAGCCATTAAAAAAGCAACTTTGACATTTGCGACAACATGGATGGACTTGGACGGTATTGTGCTTAGTGAAATAAGTCAGACAGAGAAAAACAAATACTGTATAATATCACTGTAGAATCTAAAAAATAAAACAAATGTGAATTGAACAAAAAAGAAATAGGGGCTTCCCTGGTGGCACAGTGGTTGGGAGTCTGCCTGCTGATGCAGGGGACACGGGTTCGTGCCCCGGTCCGGGAGGATTCCACATGCCGCGGAGCGGCTGGGCCCGTGGGCCATGGCCGCTGGGCCTGCGCATCCAGAGCCTGTGCTCCGCAGCGGGAGAGGCCGCAGCGGTGAGAGGCCCGCATACCGAAAAAAAAAAAGAAATAGACTCACAGACACAGAAAACAAACTAGTGGTTATCAGTGGGGATAAGGAAGGAGGGAGGGGCAAGATAGGGATAGGGATTAAGAGGTACAAACTACTATGTACAAGGATATATTGTACAGCACAGGGAACATAGTCAATATTTTATAATAACTATAAATGGAGTATAACTTTTAAAAATTGTGAATCATTATGTTTTACACCTGAAACTTAGGTTATATTGTAAATCAACTATACGTCAATAAAAAAAATAAAAATTAAACATTAAAACAATAAAGGTAATTTTTAAAATCCATGGTACAAAAAAAAAGGGCCTATTTCTTTTTATTGCTGGGTAGTATTCCATTGTACAAATGGAATGCAACAGTTTTATCGCACAAGACTAATTTATTGTCTAAAAACATAGAGGTTTCTGCCCCTGATTTCTTCTTTTCCTGTCACGTAGGAATTTTTTAGGGTTCCTTTTTCTCCTATATCTGCCAATCTTTTTTCCTAAACTAGGGGGGAAATTAGCAAACTTGCCTAGTTTGTTGAATAATAGGAAATGTGACTGCGTATGGTAAAACTTAACCACCCACTAATATCAGAACAGCACACAAAACACAGAAGACCTAGGAAGAGATAGTTTATATTCACAAGTCTTACATCTATTGTCTTTTACTGAATGGCTAAGATTAATTTCTCAGATTGAGAATTGCTCCTTCTGCAACACGTAAATGTATGACTGGAAATGCCCAAACATATGAACTTCTGACCATGTTAACGTCTAACTCTATTTCTGATTTAATGGCGTTGGACTACCTCTCACTTTGAAAGCTTAGGAGGAGGTGTCCCTGAGAAATAGGAGAAAACAGGGGAACTATAAAAGATTGTCAAATATACGCAGAAATAAGAAGAAGATAAGATGCTGTTCCCAAGACGACCATTCCATATGAGGCAAAATCTATAAAGATGATCTCTGTTTAAGTGGTTAAAAAAACAGGGGATGGAGATAACAATCACTTAAACAAATAAATGAAGAGTTACAACCGTAACAAACACTACAATAAAAGAGGCATGGGAAGCAGCCGCATAGCACAGGGAGATCAGCTCAGTGCTTTGTGACCACCTAGAGGGGTGGGATAGGGAGGGTGGGAGGGAGGGAGACGCGAGAGGGAAGACATATGGGAACATATGTATATGTATAACTGATTCACTTTGTTATAAAGCAGAAACTAACACACCATTGTAAAGCAATTATACTCCAATAAAGATGTAAAAAAAAAAAAAAAAAGGCATGCTGTGCTACAAACGCCTACATTAAGGGGATGTGACCTCGGCAGGAAGGTCAGCAAAGGCTTTCTTGGGCTGAGACCCGAAGGATCTACAGGAGATAAAACCAGGAGCACAGATCAGGGGTGGAGAACAGCAGGTGGAAAGGCCCTGTGGTGGGGGTCCATGGAGCCCTGGGGAACTGAAGGGAAGCCAGTGCGTCCGGAATCCCCATGCAAGAGGGAAACTGGGCTGAGAAAGGGCTTGAGGGAAGCAGGGACCAGATCATGCAGACTGTGGTCTGTATACTGTGAGCAGTGGGAACATATGAAGGGTTTCAAGCCAGGAAAGGGACGGGGTCAGCTCTGGGCTGCTCTAGGGCTCCCAAAGAGAGCACCCTCATCTCACAGGATAGAACGCGGGGAACTGTCTTTCACCACACACAGGCCTTGTCTCCAAGAGGATGCAGAAAATGCGCTCACATCTCCTGGACTGAAGCTAAGAGAAAAGCAGGTACTTTCAAAGGAAAATGATCCAAATGAAAGGGACAAGGAAGGAGAGACAGGGTGGACAAAGAGCGTGTTAGGAAAAGAAAACACCCTACATTCTACGTTAAGTCTGCCGCCAGCTCCTAGGAGAGCTTTGTACAAGCACACATACAATGACGTCACATGATTCTCCTGTATAAACTGAGAAGACATCACCGCTGGACAGCCAGTCTTCACATTTCCTCACCCTGAGGAAGAGGAAACAGAGTGGCGTCATGGAAAACTATTATTTGACACATATACAGTATTATTCTCTTTGATTATGATGATGAACCTCAGAATCAGGAGATGTAGGCTCCAGAATCAGGGTTTGAGCACCAGTTCAAAGTAACTCTTTCCACATACATCCTTAGAAATCATTCTCTCTCTCCAACCCCCAATTTCCTCTTTTGTAAAGTAGGAAAAATGGATAAAACAGGATGATCAAGGACAATGTTTTAGAAAAATATAAAACAAAATCTAAATATAAGTAATTATTACTAGAAAAATTATTTCATATAATATCAAGCTCCTAATATGGCAGCCTCTATTATGTGTCAGGCTCAGTCCCAAGAAGTTTATATACACTAATGTATATAAACCTCTTAACAACTCAGTGAGGTGTTTCCTATTATCCCACTGAAGTCTAAGGAGTCCCAAACACACACCATAATTCGTCTCTGCCCTTCACTTTCAAGCGTGGTAAGAAAGGAGTAGAGAAAATACAAGAGAGTTCTTCACTCCAGCTTTAGGAAAGCACAAGATAAATGGTCCCAAAATAAAGACTGTGTGAGAGAATGACTCAGTGAATCTGATTTCTAGAAGGACTAGGAGTTAGAAAAGGACTATGACTTGACCCAAGAAAGGCAGACCTAACTCTATTTCCATTTCATGAATAGTAAGGAACTCCTATTAACAGAGATTTTTAATACTCCTTCTAACTCTGTAATTTCTCTATGTTTTGATATTTTCACATATCTGCTTTCCTGAGATTATTTATAAGTCAACTCTACCGCTAACAAGACACATTAAAAGAGCCTTGGCTAGGCCTTCCCTGGTGGCACAGTGGTTGAGAGTTCGCCTGCCGATGCAGGGGACACGGGTTCGTGCCCTGGTCCAGGAAGATCCCACATGCCACGAAGCGGCTGGGCCCGTGAGCCATGGCTGCTGAGCCTGCGCGTCCGGAGCCTGTGCTCCGCAACGGGTGAGGCCACAACAGTGAGAGGCCCGTGTACTGCAAAAAAAAAAAAAAGGGCCTTGGCTTTTTTTGCCTTGATACAGGGAAGTACAGAGATGCTGATCAACTCCTGCATTGTGGTCTAAGAGAAAGAAAGCCAGGAAGAAAAACTGGAAATGGCAGAGAGCAAGGGGACAGCACAGGGGAGTAGCTAACAGTAATGACAACAGCGTGACATCACTGACCCGGGCAGTCCAACCTCAGGGCCAGTGCTCTTAGCCTCTACACTGTAATGCCCGCACATATGCAAACCCAACAGGATGCACAAAAATTTGCCACAGAGAAGAGGGCCAGGGTTGGAATACTTACAGAGGACTACTTTATCAACAGATTAGACACAGCCGAAAAATTATTTAAACTAAAGACAGAACAAAAGAAATTATCCAGAGCGGAGTCCAGAGATTCAAAGAAATGAAACATATAAATATTTTTGTTAAAAAATATTTAAATATCTCCAGAAGGAGATACTGAATAATAGAAAGAATGGGGAGGGGGGCAATATTCAACATGATAGTTGGTGAGAATTTTCCAAAGTTACTGAAAGACACCAATCCTCAAATCCAGAAAGGCCAAAATGCCTAAGCACAACAGATTGGGGAAAAAAAGAAAAAAAATCAGAGAAAGGACTGTCATAATGAAATGTAGAATACCAAAAGAACACAAAAAAGAAGATATTATGAGGAGCCAGAGAGAAAAGACAGATCACCTAAAAAGAAAATGCAGACAGACAGAGTACTCCCAGAGGAAAGGAGAACCACTGGGGCACAGCAAGGAGCTCCCAGCAGTGGGGACCCCGCAGATGCAGCCTGACTATCTCCTCCAAGGACGGCCACAAGAATACCTTCCATCCCACATGCTCTTCAATGCAATGTGACTTTGATACTCCGTTCATCAAGAGGCAGGGCCTATGTCCTCTCACACTGAAACTGGGTGGGCTTTTATGACTGTTTCAACCAACACATGGGGCCAACCTAAGGTAATATGACTTCTAAGCCTCGGTCATTAAAAGGTTTTGCAGGGTCTCCTTTTGTTGCCGGAATATTCACTCTTGAATCCTTTAGCTACCCTGAGGCTGCCATGCTGTGAGGAAACCCAAAATAGCCCACGTAGAGAGGCCAGAGGACAGGCCCTGAGACTATACAGAGCAAGAGGAAAAGAAGGAAGAGAATGGGAGAGGAGGTCAGGAGAAAGGAAGAGAGCTATATCTGACCAGCCCAGAGCTGCTTCAGACCCTTATGATCCAGCTCCAGTCACTATCTGATTGAAACAGCATAAGAAACCCTTAGCTCAAACCATCTATCCAAATGCTCCGCAAAGATCTTACCCACAGAAAGTGTAGGAAATGCTAAAATGACTGGTGTTGTTTTCAAAGTCGCTACATTTTTGGGTGACCTGTTACACAGCAACAGATAATTGGGACATCGAAACTGCCAACTGGCAGCCCTCTGGGTATTGGGTGAGAGTGACAAGAATCAGTTTCACAGGATGAGGTCATCCAAGAATTTCTAGCATCTAAACACATTATACACACTTAACACTGGATATATGTGAAATACAAAAAGCTTTCTTAATTGCAGCTGCCAATGTAATTAGTGCTCAAAATAATCATCCTGTTTTATTTACTTTTTCAGGTGCCATGCCTCCTGGAACTACTGTATAAAAATTAAGAAAATTACAGTGAAAATTGGAGGTGTTAACTTCAAACATGCATTACACTCATCATATGTTAACCAAGCAAATCGAGCATGAAATTTAAAAATGAACTCACCCCCTTTCCTCCTGACTTTTGGTCAAATGGTACCATGGTGATTTGTTTGGAATCCCGTTGATATGTACAGTAGTGCTTCACCCAGGAAGTTCCAAAATGACCTGCAAGGTAATATTCCCCATAAAACATCTCTACACGTCCACTGCATGCTGGAAAAACACACAACCAGTAACTCACAATGCTCACCTATCCTTAAACTGTTTCTAGGGGCGATATACTCTCCCATACCAGCTAGACGTAAACAGGCAGAAATCTGATTCCACAAGCTGGAAATGGAACCGACCCAGGGCTTTCCCCAAGGACCAAGGAACACTGCTTGCCACTAAATGCTGCATCCGATGGGTCTTAAAATATAAGGGAAGTAGAGGTTCCCTGGGGAAATTAATTCACTTTCCCATATGATCAATCTCCATCTGAAGTTTCCTTTCTCTCCCCTGACAGGAGTAAAATGACTGAGAAGGAACACAGAAAAGCTCCTCAAAGTGCTTGTCACTGTTCCCATCTGGTGCGATGGCTTCATGCTTCCCACACAGCTGTTCTGCGACCATGTGCACACACGTACAGGGGTTCTGACCTACTTCCAAACCCCTAATTTTTACTTTAGCAGAACTCAAGAAGATCTGAAAAGCAGACAAGGAAAACCCAGAGACACCAGACATGTGGAACAGAAGTAACTGTAAATGCTCAAATGTAATCTAAGGAGTTTGTCCCTCAAAATTATCCCTCAGGAAAGAGGCAGATGCCCTACAGACGAATTCTGACAGTATCTGATTTTATCAGGTGTCTGGCCAATTACCTTATTTCAAACAACAAAGTACTGTTAGAGAAAGAAGGCCTGATTGGCATTATTAGCCTGCAAGGACCTCAATCAATACGAGTTCTGGATGCTTATAGACATCACATAGCAGATATGATTAAAAAACAATAGTGATAACATGAAAACAGATTTAGCAGACACTTAATAATTATTTTTCAGGGTGTGAATGCCCATTGCAAGTGTTGGATGTCACTTAGTATACTTAAAAAGCAACAGAGTGTCTACCCTGGAGCATCAAGGACAAATGAAAACACCAACCATTCAACTGTGTTTCTGTGGCTTAGGGAATAAATTCCAGTGACAGCACAACACAAAGATTTCAAAAGTGCTGTATCTTGGACACTTTGAGCATCATAATAAACAAGGACAGTAATGGATTTAGCCTAATGAACAAAATGGGAACTCAAAAGGCCATACTGACAGTAGAAAGATGGATGGACAGACAGATGAAAGAAAGAGAGAGAGAGAGAGAGAGAGAGAGAGAGAGAGAAAGAAAGAAAGGAAGGGAGGGAGGGAGGAAGGAAGGAAAGGAGAGAAGGAGGGAGGTAGAAAGCGGGAGGACGCTTCCTTACAGCACACTGAAAGGCAACTAATAAATGTGGGGGGAGTGGCAGAGCTGCAAAATCACCATTTTGCGACCATCACAGTAAAGGTCAGCCCAGGCCAGGATTGTCAATGGATGCTAACTCCATGGAGGCAAAGTCTGATGAGGGAAGGGCACGGTCTTAAGGTATCCGCCCCACAGACCGCTTATCAGTTACAAGGGAAACATAGTGACAGCACAGTGGGGAAAACAGAAAGTACCTTGACTGGGTGATCAAAATCAACAAGACCACGGAGGGCAGAGGAACATCCTTTGCTCCGGATGTGGCACCCGGGAAAAACACAGCATTACTTATGTAGGATTTGACCAGGGATGCATGACCTGAATCTAATCATGAGGAAACATCAGACACACCCACAATGAACAAATTCTATACAAGAACTGGCCGATATTCCTCAAAAACGTCAATGTCATCAGAGGAACTGTTCTAGGGTAAAGGAGACTAAAGTTGTCATATGGCAACTAAATGCTATATAAGCTCCTGTACTGGAGGAAAACAAAATGCTCTATAAGGGCATCACTGGGACAACTGACAAAATGGGAATATGAAATATTGTTTAGATGAAATATCTTATCAATGTTAAATTTCCTGGATATGTAACTGTGGTTACATAAACGAACGTTTTGAGAAAATACACACTGAAGCCAAGAAGCATGGTATATGCAACCTGTTCTCAAATGGTTCAGAAAAAATTATAGTGTGTGTGTGTGTGTGTGTGTGTGTGACTGTGATATGCACACACACCCATACAGAGAGAGAAAGAATGATCTAACTGGAAAAATGGTAAAAATTCGTGAATCTGGGTAAAAGTCATATGGTCGTTCTTTATACTATTCTTGCAACTTTCTGTAAGTTTGAAACTACTTCAAAATAATGTTACAAAAACTTCCAAATTAAAAAAAAAAAAGCTGTATTCTAATGATATGCTCTGGACCACTGTATTGGAGAATCAAAATATGGTTCTAATGATAATCAAGACATTAATGTTGAAAAAACACATGAAGTGTTTGAATAAAATTGTACAATGTCATGTGAGTGCTTATACTGACTTTACACGTAAGTGACCAATGTTAATAAATTAAGTATTATAAGTGGACACTGAATTGTATTTTTATAGTCTTAAAAATTTTTATTTTCAAATTGACTTAAAACTTTTGGGGATGGTCTTCTCATTGGGCAAAGAAGATATGACCATATCTTCAGGTATAACACACAACTAAAGTAGCTTCTGTTTTTTACAAGCCTTAACAGGCTCATACCTGCAAGAATAAGGGACATAAAACTCTCATCACAACTGATGATCCAACCTCCAACCCCATTACTACACCTCTGTCACCAGGGAACAATTTTAAGTCCAAGGAAATTTTTGAGTAATCACTAAATAGAATAATCACTGAAACTGAGTGTTTTGTTCCATTAGGAAGCAGATAGGAGTGAAGATATTTAACTAATCCTAAATCAACAGTGCCCAGCCAGAAAGCACAGGTGCGAGACTACAAGAAGAGCTACCCATTAAGGAAAAACCATGCACTTTCTTTAATCTCTAGCACCGCACGCATGAATTAAGTCTGGGAGTGCAACAGCCCAGTGCACGAATCTGAGTCATCGTTGTAAACTCTGGGTTAGCAGCACCTGGCATTTCTTTCCTTGATGTCGTATGGGCAAGTCAATGGCTCTCCTTCCTGGCTCTTGAAGTGAGCTTTTGTTTCTACTTTTCATAAAATTTAAGTGTTGGAATGACAGGGGTTGAGGAGAAGAGAGAAAGGGCCTAAGTCATGATTGTTTGGGCCTTGCTGAAACAAGTCTCAAACGAAAACAAAATCACCAACTATTAAGTCTACCGAAGGATATGACAATAAGGTCCAGCCAGCCAGACCTTTCCAAGGCCTCTACACAAGGGTATGGTATATAAAGCTACACTGAAGGTACAGGAACCTCAAGAGTAGAGTGACACCAGGGAGAGAAGGGGCACCGCAGTGCCTCAATGAATTCCAGGTTGCAAGGAAATTCCCAGTTACAAAGGAAACATAACACATCACTGGGAGGTAGACAAGACCTGGTGGACAGCATCTCTGCCCTAGGAAACCTAACTATAAAATCACTCTCCTTCATCGAAATACGTACTCCAGGCCAGGCACTACTGGATACACCCCCCAGCTCCTGGGAAAAGGGCAAGAGTACACCCACACCGCTGGCCGATCCAGCACTCACGTTTCTCCTGGACGTAGAGGTACCCTTCCATGGTGTAGGGACTGATGGTCTTGTGCTCGAGGGGATTCTCTTTCATCTTCTTCATCAGGGATTCCACTTCTGACCTGGTGCCTTCAAAGCGATTTCTTGTCTAGGATGAAAGGAATTTTATTCAAATCAAAGAAATGAAACCCTGTTCCCATCTCTAGCACTTCAGAACATCAACCTACAGAATTCTTAGATCTAAAACCAGGTAAGGAACATTCAGCCATCTAGGAATCAGGCAAAAATGTTCCCTTTTAAGAAATATACTTTGGCCTTAAAGCCCTATGTCAGAATGACTCTCAAACTCTAGGGACCATCAAAATCACCTGGGGAACGGCAGGAAATGCAAATGACCAGTTCTCACCCTGAAAGATAAGTTTAGCGCCTCTCAACCCAGACATGCGCATTTTTAACAAGCATCCCAGGCCACTCTGACTCGGACGGTCCACAGCAGGGCGCGCCCTCCACCTCCCTCCAGGACAGAGATGCTCTTCCTCCAGCTGTTTGCTGATGGCTCCCTCCTCGAATGGAGCTGCTTCACTTAAGGTTACCCCTCCCCCAGGGCACCCTGCACCCAGCAACTAGGCGAAGCCAGGGGCCAAAGGGGGAGGGTCAAGGGACCATCCCAGCTCCAGGGGGCCCAGGGCATCGGCTGAGTCCTCACCACTCAGCTTCTCCTCCGGCAGGGCCTGCTGCCCTCACTCTGTCACAGGTGCTTCTGCCAACACTGCCTCCTGGGGACCTGCTCTGCATAAATCTCCACTTCAGAGTCTGCCTTCTGAGGGACCCGGCCCAAGGGAAGCCACGCTTTGTGACAGCTCATCCAAGACCCTGCAAACGCCTGTTCTCTGAGGCACTGCAGAGAACCATGAGGGGGCAAGCTCAGGCTTCTTCAAGCATGCAGTCCAACCCGCACAGACACACTTGGGTTTATTTGGGCTCAGGATCATCCAGAGACAAAGACAACATGCAGATTAAAGTGGCCCCATCACACAGGGAAGAAGGGGGTTTGAGCCCCAGTGACCGCTAACCAGAGCCCTCAGCAGGATTCCGTGCACGCAAAGGTCCTGCTGCTTACAATCTGGGAAAGGAGATTGGGAGTAAGGCGCACCTACTTGGATCTCCTGGCAGCCTCACTGAGAGTTGAACAACAGCACACCCTTTGAGCCCAAGGCCAGCACGTGTACCCCATCCCCATCCCCTGAACACACACACTCTATGGTTTTATGGGGCCAGGCGGCTAGATGCACAGAGGGAGGCTAGGCTGGGTGGGGCTGGGACTTCCACTGCCAAAGGAAATCCTGATTCTGGCCCTACAGATTTAAAACATAAGCAGCAGCAGCATTTCCGAGAACATAAAAATAGTGCTTTGAAATAATGGAGGAGAGGATGATGCTCTAACCTGGGACCATCCAGCACCCTAGAAATGCCTGACCCCCACTGCCCTTTGAACCCAAGCAAGACCCACCCTCTCCACCTGCATCTCAGTCCATTTAAGTGATCTGTATGCAACCAGACCCATATTTTGTTTTTCCTTCCCTTAGCGAGGGAACGGAAGCCTGTCCCCTCGCCTACTCACGTTCTGTATGCTGATAGTCAACTGCGTCTTGAAGTCGTTGAAGTCCTTGGCCAGTTCATAACCATGGTGATAGAAAGTGAAGAGTCCTTGTAGGAATGCCAGTAGCTGTAATGAAGGCAGAAGGGCAAACTTAACATAGGCAGGTTCAAAAGGTACTATGGAGCTGTATCTGAGTTCCCAGCCCCGGTTTGAAAGTCTAGAATAAGGTAATAATAATGGCTATCGTTTACTGAGCACTTCTTACATGCCAGGCACTGTAACTTCATATGCCCTGTGTCTCACTGAATATTCATAACAGCCTATGAAATGAATACTGCTATCATCTCCAACTTATCAGTAAGGAAGCAGATTCAAAGAGGTTAACTAACTTGCCCAAAAAACACACAGTAAGTGGCAGCCAGGATTTGAAACCAGGCCTCCTGGCACCAACATCCAAGCTCTTCCCCTGTGAAGCCTCATCACCTCCTAAGAAAATCACTTCTTCAGAAGCTGAAGACCAGGGCTCCCACTCAGTCTCCTTCTAGTATATTCATAATATCAGGTTATCACGCAGAAGGGTGTGTTTATGTTGATAACCAACAAGGAAGGGAGAAAAGGAAGCTGGTGTGTCCTGAGTCTGCAGTCTAACAGGCAAAGTCAAATCAAAGAAAATCACCCAGATCAGATTTCAGCTCAAGCATGTTTCTGTACTTTCCAGAAGCTCTCCAGAAGTAAACACTCTGGACTCCTTTATTAAAATAATCTCATGTTCCCACATTTTCACTTAGGTGGTTTCCCTAAATTCTCACTTAAAGTGTCACAGCCTAAAAGGTAAGCCCATTCCTTGTTTAGTCTTGTCTTTAGTGAAGAGTGAAAACATCTGTTCACTACAATTCTCACAACATGCCTTCATATACTTAAAAACCATTAACGTCCCCACCCTGAGCCCCTGTCAGCCTTCACTTCTCCAAGCTAAATAAACGTTCCTGCCGTCTCTCCTCCCAGTGCCCATATGTAAACCTCACCGTTGTTATGCTTCCCTGGCCCCTTCCCAAGCTCTACATATCCTGTCTCAGTCCCAAATCTCAACCTGAAGACAGGATTACAGTTAAAGCCTGAACAAGGTTCAGAAGAACCAGAACCTCACCTCCATCACAAGCCCAGTTCTACTACATTTGGAGACCAGCCCCATTCTAACTTCTCAATGTCAACTCACACCGTCTGAGTTGTCCCCTCTGACCTGCCTCAAATACCTGTTAACCAAGACACAGCTGCACCACTTTATATTGTTGTGTTTAATCTTCTAGTCCTTAAATGAACATACCTTTACTTATTAAACACAATCTCACTTTGTTTCACCTACTCTCCTTTTTTGAGCAGCAGCCCTAATAATGAGAGTAAAGGAAACTCTCACACTTTGCTTGTGGCAGGAACGGTAAGCACCGAGGTATATACTGACCTGTCTTCAGACAAAGCCACATGCCCAGCCCACTTTATCAAAGAGCTCTGCACTGGAAAGTCAGGCAAAACCCCAGCTTATAACAATGTGATCCCTTGACTTCCTGCTGCCATTGTCCCTTGAACATCTGTTCCCTTAGATCCTTACAGGAGGAGAGGAACAGGCACTGCTGGGTCCTCTGGCTATAAAAACATCTAGAGGCACCATATATACACCCTTCACCTAAATTAAGGAATGGGTGGTAAGCCACAGAGAGTCACCAAAGACTAATAATGAACTCTTTTCTTCAAAGATGACCAAAGTCTTTGCAAAGTCCTCTATGTAAAATACATTTTTGAGAACGTGGCCCACACTTTTCCTTCTAAATGGCTCCAGTAATGGAGAAGAAGGAGCTCTTATGCCAAACCTAGTGCCAGTATTCACAAGGACAACAGTCCTTTCTTATCTCTTCCCTCCCTGTTGTCCTTGAAGGCTGCGCCCCATCACTTTTCCAGGGCACTGAGTCACCCTCTAGTGGAGAATAATGCAGAAGATAAGCAGCTGATTCTCGAGTCATCCCTTCTATTAATGCTGATTTATGCTGCACTTACAGTCAACAGGGCCTCTCTTACTGAGGGTAATTAACTATCTCAGACAGCTTGCTAAGATGCCACCTGGGTATACACACAAGCACTCCAAAGGCAGAGAGCTGCCAATGTTTATTTTGGTTTTCACTTCCTCTGGTATCATGGCTGATTGTCCATTTTTTCTACAGGAAATGATGCCTTCGGTATTGTTATCTTTGGGCCACTTCCTTCCTTCTCCCCTCACAGCATCTTTCGTCCCCTCCCCTACCTCCCACACACTGTATGAATCTTTGAACCTATGACCCCAAGGGAAATGAAAGTCCACTGCTCAGGGAGCTGGGCACGGCCCACAGAAGGACCCCCGAGATGCAAGGATTTGTCTGCCTCAAAGAAATGGTTCTACTCACACACACAGAGGAAGCGCCTGCTGTAGCCTCACCTGGTTATCAGGTAAGAGAAGCCAGCACGTCCACCCAGGCTCCTCCCTGGACAGCCAGACGTGCAATCACAGCATGACAAAGCAAATGCCAGAGGAAGACCCTCACAACCCTCCTCTGCCTTCTGCCCCTTCCTTGTTTTCCTCTGAGAATAACTGTAAGAAAATTTATTCCTATTTCCTAGCTGATAACACAGATTTTTTAAAAAATAATAAACAAAAATGTAACTGCGTTATTCGTGATGGTTACAACCTTCTGGACTACGTGATAAATTTAAGGTTTTTTCCATTTATAGAATAGAGCTACTGTTTTGGGTTGAATTTTTTCCCCCAAACCCAAAAGATACAAAGTCCTAAACCCTGGTATTTCAGAATGTGATTTTATGTGGAAACAGGGTCTGTACAGAGATAATCAAGTTAAAATGAATCCATTAGGCCCTAATCAAAAATGACTGGTGTCCTTAGAAAGGGGGGAAATTTGGACACAGTAACAAACACAGAGAGAAGATAGTCCTGTGAAAATGAGGAACTGAAGTGAGGCATCTATAAAACAAGGAATGACAGATACTGCTGGGAAACCACCAGAAGCTAGGAAGAGGAAAGGAAGGATTTTTCCTTACAGGTTTCAGGGGCAGCAGGGCCATGCTGACCTTGATCTCAGACCTTTAGCCTCTAGAACTATGAGACAATACATTTCTGTTGTTCTGAGGCACCCAGTTTGTGGTACTTTGTGACAGCATCCCTAGCAGAAGAATACAGCTACCAAGAACCATTCATTCACACTGACGAAGAGAAGGGCAGCCAGTAAAGGGATGAAAAGCTGGGCTGGGTAAGCCAGGTAACTCCCTTCAACTTGTCTTTAACCTGTTACTGCAGTGGATTACGGTAGAGATTGAGATCATCTATGTAATGGGCTTAATTAGCACAGGCGTGCTGGCAGGGGCTGCTCAGCAAGAAGGACAGAATCAGACCGATGTGTCAGAAAAGGCACTGTGCTGACAGGGTCAGGACAGGATGCCACTGACCAAAGCGAAAGAATGACAAGCTGCAATGGGGCGGAAGCCGTGAGAAGGGACAGGAAGGCACAGCACCAAGAAATACTCTGGAGGCGAAATTCAGAGGCTGTGGAGCGTGACGAACGTAGAGCGTGAGCTCTCTGCCGCAGTAGGTAACCTTCAATTAGGAAAACTCAGGCAACAGACGGAATATGGCTTCACCTTCATGAAGCCAGTCGTGTCATTATCTACGATCCCAATCTCCAGAACATTTAGTACCTCAACAAGAAAATTAAGGTTTCCAGGGCCCACAAAAATATACGGTTTAGATCCCAGAGTCTGATTTTTCTTCTTTAGCATACTAAAATTTTGTTTCTTTTTCTGAAGGTCAATAACTTCCGGCACTTGAAGTTACTTTCTAAGAAACAAATGAACATAGTTGATGTACATGGAGGTTCCTTGAATGGCTGGAAGATTCCCTTGACTGCAACCAACTCAACACATGAATATGCACACCAGGCACCCCAACAATTTAGTTCAATCGATTTTTTTGCTTGTTTCCTTTCCGCCCTTAAGTAGTCAAATGCTGTTTCATAGAGATTAAGAGTCAGACCACTACAGCTCTGCTATTTACTAGGTGTGACCTTGCAGAAGCAAATAAATGTGCTTCCATTTCTTTATCTGAAAACAAAAACAGTACCTACCCTCAGAGATGATATAAGGATTGAATGACATAATGTGGTAAAGCACTTATTACTCACACAGAACATGACAGAGTTTCAGCTGATATCATCGACCGTTATTTCACGTTCTTCTTTTGTACAATCTAGGCCAGCGGCTTAAACTTTAATGTGCAGCAGAATCGCCTGGAAGGCTTACAAAAAAATAGATGACTGGGCCCTACCCACAAATTTCAGGTGTGGGGTAGAGCCTGAGAATTTGTATTTCTATGACTTTGAGAACCAGTGATCTGGTCAGTAGCTTTTTCATTGTGTGACTCTCTTCTCCCTACCCACAGCTCCAGCCACTCACCTGCCTATCAACTGGTGTGCTCAGAAACAAGAACTTCTATAGAAAAGTGAAGGTCACACATCTACATCCAACCTCTCCGCCAACTCATTTAACTTAACTCAGGACAAGCTCCTACCACTTTCTCTTCACTCTAACATGAGACCAGACCTTTTTTTCATTAGCTCTCCAGGTGCCTCACTTTATGACTTCAAAAACATCTGCAAACCACAATGGTTCTCTACTTTTTAAATCCCTCTGGTACATCCATCCTATGCATGCTGGCACTGAACTGCTTGCTACCTTGGCTAGCTCTTTACCATAGACACTGATTCCCCAAGGAGACTGTGAGCTCCTCAGACAGAGCAGCTGGGTCATCAGCATTTTCTATGCTATTCAGAAAATAAATGCTTTTACATTTACCAAGACTATATTAAACCAAGTAGGCCCTGTTAATACTGGCACTTGACTCATTTGCTCACTTGAGGAGACCCTGGGTGGCCAAAATTGATATATTCCTCTACTTCAGAATAAAAAATAATCGCTAACTGGGTCCTAATAAGCAATTATATAATAACTGGGTGTTACTTAGGTTAGCTCTATTCTAAGCATCTTACCTGAATAAACTCAGGTAATCCTCCTAACATCTTTATAAAAGTGGTATTATTATACCTATTTCACAGAGGGGAAAACTAAGGCTCAAAAAATAACTTCCCCCAGAATGCGTAGCTGGAAAATGGCTGAGCTGGGACTTAAATGCAGGCAGTCTGGTTCTAGAGCCCTTGACGATGATGCTACACTGCCTCTCAAAAAACCTAAGACACTGATATACTACGGTAGCATGCCAGGAAACAGAAGGATAAATCTTTATAGATTTCTTTAAAAAAAAAAAAAAAAAAGAGGAGGAAGAAAGGTAGGAGGAGGATACGGTGGGGGAGGAGGAGAGGAAAGCCCACCTAGATGAGCAGAGTCAACCAGCTGAGCCCAGCCTAGACTAGATGAACCCCACAGATGTGTAAGAAATAAACGTCTGTTGTTGTATAAGGTTTTATGGTTATCTGTTAGTCAGCAAAAGCTAACAGATATGATATCTGATTCACTCTATGGAGACATCAAAATGGACACACAAAAAAACAACTCAAAAATAGGATGGGTCAATTAAAATGCAACTCATCAAAATCAGGTATTTATAGAATAATATCGAACAAAGTATACATAAAGATTATGAGAATCACACTGGTTTTTTTTCCTCTAGAAGTTCTAGTAAAAGCAAGTGAAAAGGCCAAAGGCTAATTCTTCATGACAGCATTTGAATTCCTGCTCCAGCCACGAGAGAGATGAGACTTTCTTTTAGTCAACCTGTGACTGAATGGCTAGTTTTAACACCTCTGGGCCCCAAGCAGGGAAATCAACAAGCTTGCTTTCTCTGACAGATGGCTTTCCCCATCTCACAGACCCTGCAGAAAGATGTGGATTTTGACCTGAGATCTTGGCAGAGATCATTGCTGGAAAGGAAGCTGGCTCTAAAGTTTCCCTTATTCAGATAAGACTGAGGTAATTAATAGCTTTGAAGAATCTGCCAGATGACATGGCTGGGAGTAGACTCCCAAGATCAAAATAGCTCCAGCAAAGTAAAAGATGGACGCAACAAATTCCAAGGCCAAATGGAGTCTTAAAACTACCAGTAAGTCTATGTGCCTAAAAAGCATCCCCAAAGTTTATAAATTAGAAACAGGGCACAGAACATTCTTGACCAAAAAGAGCAGTCACTTTCTTTCAATTTCTTATAGTTTTGTTATTTGCTTAAGAAAATCACTTTTTTTTTTTTTTTTTTTTGCGGTATGCGGGCCTCTCACTGTTGTGGCCTCTCCCGTTGCGGAGCACAGGCTCTGGACGCGCAGGCTCCGCGGCATGTGGGATCCTCCCGGACCGGGGCACGAACCCGTGTCCCCTGCATCGGCAGGCGGACTCTCAACCACTGCGCCACCAGGGAAGCCCCGAAAATCACTTTCTTAAATCTAGGTAGGTAATCTCATTTGTATAGAGACCCCAGGCTTGGGTCTAGATCAGAGGTTGCATTCAGCTGAAAAATTCAAGATCTGCAAGAGTTTTAAATTGAGGCCCACATGCTTATTTGGTGTTTCCATGGATTCTGAACACTAGTGCCACAGAGGGGTAGAGCAATACCACATCTGCACAAAACCACAACCACACTGGGGTGGCCTAAGCTACAGCCAGACGTGTCCCCACATTGCAACCCTTCACGCCCAATGGAACATTCTGTCCAAGTCCAAATCCCATCACGATTCACTCAGAACGATCTCCATGCTGCTTGGTTATAACAAACTTAGAGTGAGAAATTGCTTTATATCGCATCTTTTAATACATGCCTGGGATAAGGAGGGGCTTTGAACTTAGGAGGCAAAAAGAGAATGGTTTCCTTGGGTTACTGCTACACTTGCGTTACTTGAAGAAGAGAAGAAGCAGGGAAGGAAGGAGGAAAGTTAAGGTGTCATCACTATTGTTTGGCAAGATGAAAACTCCTCCCCTCCCCTACTTTGACTTGGAAACCAATCAGCACAACGCAAGGTAGCTAGAGGATGGAACCATTGCTGAATGCTCTACACCCATGTCTGTGGTTGTACTGGGAAGAACCCAGGGTAGCCAGTTGACCAAGCACTGTTACTAGCAGAAGGCACAGCATCAGAGCTGGTCAATCTCTTCATTAACAACTTAGAGCATTTCGTCATCTAGGTAGTTGGAATGAGGGGTGGGGGATGAAAGTCTGGGTACACAGTGAAACCTTGAGCATCTACTTACAGGCTCCACGAACTCAAACATCTTTCTCTCTTGGACTTCTTGCACCTTGAAGACATACTCCAGGGATACTTCATAGAAATGCTGCCGGACCAGGTCCACTTGGCTGTCTGCCTACAAACAAGATGGAATTTCAGAGAAAAATCAGGTCACTATCTGAGGAGAGAATTCAGCAAGCAGGCAAAAAAAATCTCTGGAGATGGTTTTTAAAAACAAATCCAGTAGCATGAAGCAGAAATAAGAACAATGATCATGGTTACCCGAGCACTAATTTTGTGCCAGGAACCATGCCCATAAAGCTGTACATCAGGGCTTCCCTGGTGGCGCAGTGGTTGGGAGTCCGCCTGCCGATACAGGGGACACGGGTTCGTGCCCCAGTCCGGGAGGGTCCCACGTGCCACGGAGTGGCTGGGCCTGTGGGCCATGGCCGCTGGGCCTGCGCATCCGGAGCCTGTGCTCCGCAAATGGGAGAGGCCACAGCAGTGAGAGGTCTGCGTACCGCAAAAAAAGAAAAAAAAAAAGCTGTACATCATTACCTTATTCAATCTTCATTATACTTTCAGTTATTTAACCCTCATTACGTTCCTAAAAAGAAGATATCCTTACCCGTAATTTACAGGCAGTAAATGAAATCTGCTAACGTTAAGGAACCTGACCTAGTTGGTACGAGGCAGAGCTGGGATTTCTGTCCTGGCTGATCTGCCTGCAAGACCCCTGCACATTCCTAAACCACTAGACTCTACCGCCTCCCCACACCCTAGGCCGACCTAAGTTCCATGCAAGACAGATTTTTAAAGAGAAAAAGAAAACATGCAGGGCCATCCTCCTCCCATCCTTCTAAATGAACAAAACAACCTGATATGGGGCAGAGGACCTCAGAAAAGAACATTTTCACACGGTCGCACATACCTTCTTTGGACGAGGATGAACTATTAGTTTACCCCAAGCAGAGTAATTACATTGCTGCCTCGGAACCTCACCTCCCTCTCTGTACAGGTGTGTGGGCTGTAAAGGTCCACACCTGGCTACAATTAAGCCACTGATTTGGGATCCAGAACCCAGGGGAGAAAATGAGCATGTGTGGAGTAGCAAGATGCTGTGCTGGGAAGTACCTTAACTCTCACTATAAAGCTCTTACCCTTTCCACTCTTTTCTTTAGAAATGAAGTATGTCATTCGATAACATACTTTACAAAGACAAAGCCCCCAAAGGAGTATTTCTTTCAGTGTTCCTTTGTCAAGATTCCTGCAGAACGAAACTGGGACAGACCTTTTACTTCATTACACCAAATATGGTATTGCTAACCTGACATCTTAAGGAGCTGGCCAATCATTCATTCATTCATTCATGGAGTTCACAGCATGATGAGGAAAAGAGATAATTAAATAATCATGTAAATAAAAAGAAAATGACAAACTCTGGAAAAGCACAAGGTGCCATGAAACAACCCAAAAGACTCCATTCAAGTCTCCTGCTAGCAACTTCCTCGCGGGGCAACTTCCATATTAATATGCAGAAGGCAGTCCCCTAAGTAACAGCTGCACAAAACCAAAATGAAGGGCTAAGCCTGGGGGCATCACCTAAGCCTCCAAGCAGGAGAGCTGATGTCTGAGCACTGACAGAGCTTTATTTGGAGACCACGTTTCTGAAAGTGCTTGCACCACGCCCCCTGCCAGGTGTAGCCGGTGGACCAGTGCCTGACACACCTTCCACCTGGGCTCCTGCCGGCTAAGGCCCGTTAAGTCCCTGTAGTCCTTCATTTCTCATAGTGTAAATCCAACACACTTACACCTAGGGACGCATCTATTTCCCTGACCTCCCCCACGCCCCCGATACATCCTCTCTGCTTGGGCTTGCCAAGTGAGACACAACAGAAATAAAAGTCATTCGGAAAAGCTGCAAGTTAGGCAGGGCTGGAGGAGCCAGGAGCAAAGTCCTCTGAGAAGAAGAGCAGAGCCCAGCGTCAGTGAGAGAGCCAGGAGAGCAACAATCTGGGTGGGAGTTGCAGTTCTATCATCTTCTAGCCGGTGGGACCCGCTCTAGTCACTTATCCTCTCCGGGTCTCTTCCCCACACCTGAAGGCTGGAGATGTTGTGATCTGCCCTTGCTCTGAGTAGAGCTGTTTCAAAGAGAAAATGAGCTAAAGGATGTGGACATTTGAAAACCAGGAAGTGTTCTGTGCACACTGGGGGTTATCACCAGGGACATCAGAGCAGATGGGCTGTAATCCCTGCTCCTACCCTAAGCCAGCCATACCTTCTCTGGGCAGTTCCAACCCTCTCTTCACCGGCCTCCCTGCTTTCTGTCTCTGCTCCCGCAATCCAGCCTCCACCCAGCAGCCAGAATACCTTTCCTAAAATCTCCATCAGCTGTTCTCACAGCTCCTTCAACACCTCCCCCTGGCCTGAAGACCCTGAGGAACCGGCCCAGCCCTCCTTCCCTACCCCTCTCCCACTGAGCTCCAGCTGGGGCTCCTAGCTACCCTCCGACACTCCGAACTCTTTCTTGCCATGCAATCTTTGCACTTGCTGTTCCTTCTGCCTGAAAACCTCTTCCCCTAGATAAATATTCAATTTTTTTAAACTTTAATGCACAGTAAGAAATACCTCTTACATTATGACCCAATAAACAAACATTTATAATTAGGTGCAACATACTTTCATATTTTTCACTCTAGTCTAGCCTATTCTATGTCATGACCCAGTAACTCAGATCTTATGACACACCCATAATTTAAAGAACATTGTCCTAGCTTTTCACCCAGCTTGCTCTTTCTCTTCATTCTGGTCTCAATTCAAATGTCACCTCTTTAGAGAAGCCTACAATGACGTTATTTTAGGTATGTTACCCCAGGGAGTCTCTATCCTATCTCCCAATTTATTTCCTTATCACTACATGAAATTCTTACTTATTTCTCTCTCTTTTCATGTATTGCCTACTAGAATATAAAGTTGATAACAGCAAAGGCCTTGCCTCACTTTTCCATTCCAGATCCCGAACAGGGCCTGGCCCACAGCAAACATTCAACTGATGCTTGAGGAATAAATGAATTGATCTCTGTGTGGCCCAGCACTGAGAAAAAAAGCATAACAATGCATTTCCAGAGGAAAAGGAAGATGAAATCCCAAGTGGAATGGTAGGTTGCTCCTGCCAATGCCCCTCTCATATGCGCCATAGAATTTACCACATCCTTAGCTCCTCTTGTGATGGAATCAGAAGCCAGATTCCAACCCCTGGGCAGGCAGTTCCTCTGCCCTGTTACTTAAGAAGCTGTCAATCTACCAGCTTGTCCAAGACCCACCAACCATTCCGTGCTTCTTGGAAAAGAAAAATTCTCCTAGACTGTAGGTTCCGATCATTCATTTCACTCCGCACAACACACCCAACTCCTGAACGGACTTTCACAGAAGCGTCCAAGGACAAAGAAATAATTTGTCCAAGGAATGATTTATTATCTTTGAAGCCAGCTTCTGAGCCACTGAAGAAAACACTGGCTTTTAAAAAGTCTTCCACTAGATGGCAGTGTCACTCCACATCGCTGCCCAGTCATTTCAGCCACCAGAGGTCCAGGATGGGCTAGAATTTACAAGTATTCATTCAGGCCTGCAATCAGGGAATAATTCTGGCTCATCAAAGGAAGTAGCTTCCGTTAAATGTGTAGTAGGTGATTCATAATATTGTTAAAAGTTGATCTTTTAATAAATGTAAGGAAAATCATCACTAAATAGCTGGAAGACCTTGAGTAAATCACGTAACCTCTGCAAGGAACTCAGGTCCTGCATGCGAAATTCTAAGAGGTTTAACCAGAGGATCACCAAGGTCCCTCCCGCTCTCCAATTCCCTTAGCTTGACACTCGCATTGAATAACAATGGCTGGCAGGCAGCCCAGCAACATCCTTCCCCACAAGATGGCCAGAGAAGAGCTTACTGGGTTAAGGGAAACGGCTCCAGAGTCAGGAGCCAAGGTTCCAATCCTTGCTGACTAGCTATAGGCAGGCTATTTAAACATCTCTGAGCCTCAGTCTCCTCCTATGTAAAAGAGAGGGAATCCACCTGTACTTCATAGGGTGGTTATGAGGATTTGAGCAGATACCACATAAAGCGCTTAACATGGCGCCTGGTACATGAATACGCATTCAGTAAACACGGGCCGCTATTGTTGTTGTTAGTAAAAATATTATCATTATTATTGTTATTATTATGAGATTTTTTATTCAATTTAATTCAGCTTAGGAATAAAAAGCAATGCTTGAGAACAGACCAGGACTTGCAAGGAAGACCTGCAGCCCACTCCTTGCCTTCAAAGTATTTAGGAAGTGTGAATGGGTAAAAAAAAGACAAGGATTGTAACAAAAGAGCATAATGAAAAAGTTTCCACTAAGATAAATACTGACAGTCAGTGCTGCAGACAGAATGTTTGCCCACCTCACCACTACGTTCATATGATGCAACCTAATCCCCAGTGTGATCGCATTTGGGTGGGGCCCTTGGGAGGTGATTAGGTCATGAGGATAGAGTCCTTACAAAAGAGGCCAAGGGGGCTCCCTCACCCTTTCTGCCATGTGAGGAGACAGCTAGAAGACAGCCATCTACGAACTGGGAAGCAGGCCTCACCAGACACCAAATATGCCAGTGCCTTGATGCTGGGCTTCCCGATATCCAGAACTGTCAGAAACAAATTTCTGTTGCTTATAAGCCACCCCGTCTAGGGTATTCTGTTATTGCAGCCTGAACCGACTACGGCAGCCAGGAAGAATGCCATCCAATTTGGGAGCAGGGGAGGGGGAGGAACAGGCCAGTTATGGGGATAATACTTTATATTTGTGTAGCGGCTGTAATTTACCTTCTCATCCATGAAGTAGGCAGGACAGGTATTTTATGAGTATTTTACAAAGGAACTAGAGCTCAGAGAGACCAAGTACTTGTCCCGGGTCACACAGTCAACTACATAGCAGAGCAAGCCTTGTAAAGAAAGTATCTCTGCCAGTCCAGTGTTCTGGTCCCCATATTGCTATCTCAGGGGGAGATGCTATTGGCACAGCCCTGAAAGAAAATGTGGGACTCATTCCAGACCAACTCACCAGGAGCCAGGCGTGGAGAGAGCAGACCGAGAGGAGAAGTAGCCTCACTCTGGTGAAGTCATGCAGGTAGGATAACTGTACTGTGGGCCTCCCAGTACCAGTAGGTGCTAGAACAATCACACATTCTCTCAGCTGTGATAACTGCACTCGTGGCGCATGGCCACCTAACTGCTTAGGAGCTACAGGTAGCCAGATCTGGGGATTGTGAGCTCCAGCCAAAAGGCCTTTCCCTATCGTTTCCAAACCCTAAACGCCAAAGGATGTTAGAAGAATGATAACCGATCAGGACAGATCCTAAATGGAATTACGTATTTATCACAGACAATTCACATATCCTTGGGTATCTCCTAGTGCCCAGAGACCCATGTAGAGCTGGGAATAGCCTTTTCTGTATCATCCAATGAAAATCAGCATTTCCTTAACCTTCTCAATCACATTTGACAAGATTTACCCGAGCAGCTTTGCTACTTCAAGAATCTCTTCCTCCTGCGTTGGCTACTTTCTCCCTAACTCAAGCAAAAAGTCTTCAAGGAAAGGTCAGCAGTTTCTTACTTCCTACAGCTCACCCCAAATACAATTGCGGCTGCTTGGTTGGCCAAGAACTGATCTGCAAAGCCCACTATAAACACTTCCTGTTAATAAGTCTGTATCCATCACTCAAACAACTGATTCAAACACTCATTTCAAAGAAAGAGTTCTGAGCACAACACTTCCTAACTGAGGGTGTGTAACAAATCCTGGGCTCCACCATCTCCTGAGTAATGCTCCTCTTTCAACCTCTGACCCTACCATCTTCATATGAACAGAAGTACTGGCAAGGAATTTGCTCACGAAGAAAGGAAACTGAAGAATGAGGGCTAGCTTGGAAGCCATAGCATCGCTTTAACACACACCTGAGATAGTGCAAGCAAATTGTTAAGAGCTAAATAAGATGATACTCATGTAGCCAAGTTTGGAGTTCCACTAGCAAACTGCCCTGTCTCCCCAAAACATAAACCCCCTCGCCATGCAAATCTCCATGAACTAAATAAAAATGGTCACAGCTCCAAGGCCACAAATCTGACTTTTCTTTCCAAGAGAACTACTCTTAAAAAAGACCCCATGCAAATCCAAAAAAAACAAGGGCAGACCAGAGAATTTACTTTTTTGAAACAAAGTTACCTAAGCACAAAATACATGAGACAATAAAATACTGCTTAAAAAAAAAAAAAAAGACTAATGTCAAGCACCGGTTGGAATAATTTTTTTTTCATTTCACATTAAGGAAGGATGACCAAAGTGTTTCAGATGCTAACATTTCAAATCAGTGATGTAAGGAGGAGGTCGAAAGGCAGGGTAAGAGAGTACAGAATCAAGGTCAAGGGTGAGAGAAACAGGAAAACAGATCTCAGTTTGAAAGGAGGAAGCACAGCCTAGTGATTAGGGTGATCTGGACCAGCTGCATGTTCCTTGCTGTGGACAGGCGGGACGGCCGTACAGCGTGGCTGCATCGGGAAGGGACAAAGGCAATGCGGGCAGCAAGTGTGGAATGAGGGATCAGAATGAGGCTCCAGCAGAGAGTAACCAGAACGTATCCACAGCACCACGGAAAGATTAAACACTTTATTCAGACACTAGTAAAGTTTCTTACCTCCTGCAGCTGAGATTCTTTCTTTTTGGAAGACAAATTCAAGTGTTTTTCTAAGATGCCACAATACTTCTCTGTCTCCTTGTCATACTTCTTTTTGGCTTCCTGGCAAAAAAAAAAAAAAAAAAGAGGAAAGGAGAAAAAGACTAAAATGTTGCAGGAATGAAAGCAACCTGGGTCAAACTCTTCCTGTTCATCTTCATGGCTTCGTCATTCCCTCAGACCCAAAACAGTGGCACACCACCCATCTCCTACTCTTCCAATAATGCCATGAAAGCAAGCAACCACCCATCAACAACAGCCCAACCGTTTTGAGGGTCTATCACAGAGGCGCCACTACTATGCCAGAAATGAGGTAAATACCAGTATTTCAGAGTTGCAGAGCCAGGGTTCCACCTTCTAGAAATTTCAGTCGTAAAAGAGAAATCTCTAGTTTCTAACTCACAAGTATGTTCAAAGCCAAAGAAGGGAAGTTACCTGTGAAGCTAATCCCCAAACAGGAAGATCCACTTACACCTTAAATGGGACAAGTCTAGACTAAGAGTAGATCCAGCTTTAACTGTGTCCACAAAGTATGTCTTAATTTGTAGACCTAAATATTCCTTGACGCAATAATATCACATATGGGTCTTTAAGCTGAGGAATAATTCTAAACAAAGAAGACATTATCTTCCCAAATATGTTCACTGTGGCATCATTTATAATAGCAAAAAAAATAAAAAGCAACAGCAACATTACTGCCCAAGAATAGAATTTGGGATAATTAAAGTATGGGGCATCCAATAAACATAACTAGGAAGGCTAGCATGATACAAACTCGGTGTATCCTACAGGGAATGTGTCTACCTACAGACAAACATTAGATGGGAAGATACTTCAGTGAAAATACTTGAGTTAAGAAAATGGGATAATGGGTGATTTTTTTTCCTCCATTTGGGAAATGTTTATTATCCTATATTATTGCTTTCAAAGTTTTATATATATATATATCATATTATACAGAATAATCCCTGCTCCCCCAAAGTCACTGAAGTTCTATTTCTATTCCTTATTTTACAGATAAGAAAACTTAGATGCGGGAAGTTAACTTGTGTAAAAAGTCACAGAGAGTGACGGAGCTGGAGTCCGAGCCCAGGACAAGCTGCCTCCAAGTCCACATTCTCAGCCACACCTGGAAACACTGTCATAGGCGGTCTCTCTTCCCTCCACATTTCAGTGGGGATGGCGGACAAGGGGACTGAAAGAAGGTCTACCATGGCCTGGTAAACAGGATCAAATGTACTAACTGGGTGCATCATTCCAGCTTTTGACTCACGTGGAGCCCACAGCAGATATTTTTCTGCAACTCCAAGGCTTACAAGAGGAGAAAAAAATTTGCGGCCAGATAAGGAAGCTCAGATACATCTCTTCATTTAATGACGATATAACAAGCAAGCACTCTGTGTTAGGATCCTTCAGGCACTGGAAATATAATACAATACAAGGCAGAAACGGCCCCACCCTCGTGGTGGGGCTGTTCCAGCAGAAGGAGAAACACAATTAACCAGTAAACAAACAGTCTGATTCCAGACCGCCGCAGGTGCCACGAAGGAAACCAACAGGGTGCAGTCCCAGAGATTCCTGCAGAGAAGTGCTCCAGAGAGGCCTCACTGGGGAGGGGAGGTATGATCCAAGACCTGCCCACCTCGTAAGGGGCAGAGTGGAGCCTTCCAGACTGGTAAGTGCAGATGCTCTGGGCAGAACACACTGGGCCTACGCGTGGAGGCATTACCAAGAAGCCGTCACCGGAAGCTCTGAACAGCACCCATGACAGCAGAACACCACTTCTCTGGTCAACGGCAAGACTCTAAGCCTCACAGAGTTGGCAGAATCCTCATATACCCATTTGAGCTGGTATGTACCCATTTCTACAAATCTGAATTTTGCTTGAAAGTTTTACATACACAAACACGCAGAAGCATGTGAAGACAAAGCTGGAGGAGACATTACTCCTTCCAACGAGGAGAGGTACAGGCAAGACACTTGACTCAAGCAATGCTTTTCCTTCACAGAAGTCAGCGACTTTGAGCTGGGGTTCCAACTCTGACTGACGCTCGCACAGGCACTCCACCAGCCTCGTCGACAACCCCCAAAAGAGAACCCTGCGCCAGCGGGCCAGAGGCGAGAAAGGGCTCAGCAACGTGAGTCTCTGGCATTCTGGGACTTTCTGGCAACTCGACCTTTGGGGGAATAACTCCTCTAGGATTGAGATCATGTTCTTAGAAGACAGGAGGGTGGTAAGACTCAGTCACTCAGGTACGGAGATGGTGTTCCCCTTCCAGGGAGTCCACGGTGGGTGGTGAAATGGATCCAGGACAGAGTTAGGATCCTGGAAATTATTCCCAACTCCGTACAAACCACTACCCCTCTGGGACTCAGTTCCCTCATCTATAAACTAATGATGACTAGACGAAATAATGGCTCAAGTCTCCCCTTTCAGCTCAGAGACTGTCTAACAAAAAAAAGCATAAGAACACTCATCCCATCATAGGACTGTCAGGACTAAATGAGATAAACCATATCCAGTGCTTGGTAGAGTGCTTGGCACATGGAAAGTGCTCAATAGAATTCAGTGCTGATGATGCTGGTGGCGGCGGCAATGATGTGGTCCATCATCTAACCCCACCGCCTCCTTATTAGGACACCACTTGCTTTCCAAGTTCCACGTCCATGAAGGCGACCCGTCACAGCACCCACCACAACTTGCAGTCACACGCTTATTCATATCATTCTGTCCAGTGCCTTTCTCCCTGCACACCATGAGCACGGTGACCACATCTGCATTTACCTGCACCGAACAGCAGTGTGGAGCACGGTGCCAGGTACACAGCAGGCTCTCCCCTGTTTTTTATGAATGAACTGTGTGTATCGAATAGAATAGTTAACGTCAAATGATTTTATGACAGTGTTCTGAGCGGCACTTTATAGGAGTTCACTCATTTCTTCCTCATAATAACTCTGTAAGGTAAGCACTCTCAGTATCCTCGTTTCTCAGCTCAGGAAACGTGTGGAGAAGGTCAGCAACCTCTCCACGTTTACATGCAAGAGGCACAAGTGGGATTTGGACTCAAGCGGTCCCACTCTTAGCCACTCTCTCTGATGTCTATTCTACTTTCACTGGAGAGCCCAGCTTCGGCTGCAGGGAAAATAAACTCCCCCAAACTCAGAAATCTAAAAGCAGGGCCACAGCTATGCCAAGCCCCAGGGTCCGCCCTATCCCAGAGCAGCCACGTTAGCACAAGAATCCTCCTCACGTGCAGCCTTCACCCCCAGAACTCTAACTTCTGCTTCCTGCAAGTAGCAACAGGTTGTTATAGCAACCGAAGTGCACCAGACCTGGGAGGAGGAGGAAGGGTAATTTTAGCATCACACGGGCAGACTTCAGAAGTAAGGTTTTTTGTTTTTTTTTTTGCGGTACGCGGGCCTCTCACTGTTATGGCCTCTCCCATTGCGGAGCACAGGCTCCGGACGCAGAGGCTCAGTGGCCACGGCTCACGGGCCCAGCTGCTCCGCAGCATGTGGGATCTTCCCAGACCGGGGCACGAACCCGTGTCCCCTGCGTCAGCAGGCGGTCTCTCAACCACTGCGCCACCAGGGAAGCCCCAGAAGTAAGGTCTTTGAGGTATTCCTGAGTCTGCTCCCTAGATGGCCTAGTAGAGGGGTTGTTTCTCTGTGTTCTCTTAAACACACGTAATACTGTGATATACATGTACGGGGATGGGGGGGTGGGGAAGAGGAACAGGTAGACTGAAAAAAATAAAATAAAATAACGAAGGGGGAGGGATGAGAAATCATCCCCAACGTCATCACCTCATTCTTCAACAGGAATGAGAGAAGAGAATGTGTGTGAGGGGAAACATGTTTTGGTGAGTGACTATTTCATATAAATTTTTTAATTCTTGTGTTTCTCACCATCTATAGCCCCCAGCAAAGTACCTGCTCCTGTCACTCGGATCACTGATACTAACCCCAAAGGAACCCACTGAGCCTTCTGCTCTTCCTCCGTGGTAACTATGGTAACCCCCATGCCGCCCAGGGAAGAGGCTGGAGTGAGAGGCGTAGGAGACACCTACTGGAGAAGTGACTTCTGGAAAGATAACTCAGTGAATGAGCCACTGTGTATTTGCGGGAGGGGAAAGCACAGGCCCCAAGGCCACGAAAGAGACGGTGCTCCTTGGGTCTGAGAACTCAGAGAGGGGCACTCGGCATTTTCCCATCCATCCCTGGGCTTGTTTCCAAGTCTCGGACAAAATCTTAGTGGAATAAGACTTCCTTTAAACTATACATTCCTTAACCTCGGATAGAAGACCAATGAGCCCCAATATCCTCACAAATGAAAACTGTAAAATTGGTAGGGAGGTGCTGTAACAGTGGAAGAAGAATCTTGGCCATGGTCCCTCCTTCAAACTAGGGCCATTCCTCCCTCTGAATAACCCCGACTGAACCGAACATCTCTGTCACGTCCTAATCATATTCATTTTTAAAAAGCACATGCACTTAGTTGGGGGCTGAGGGGAGAGCACACTTCGTTACACTTCAGCTATGTTTTTCCCACCTACAGGCAGGCATCTCTCAAGGCCATTTCACAACTGAGTAAAATCCACACCTTCTCCACAAGTTAAGAGGGTGATGTTGCCCAAAACCCCCTGCAGGTGGCACAAGGGACTGCGGCCGAATGACTCACAGCTCCAGGAAAAAAAAAAAAAAACAGGAAAAAAATCTTGAAAATCCTTTTGCTTTCATTGATTCCAATGAAAACATCTTGCCCGCAGGTGGTCTCTAACACTCTACTGAAGGTCAATCTCGCTAGGGCTGTCTAGTGATTTATCACAGGGCAGGGGACCCCAGAGAATCCACCTCTAAAAAATGAATAAAATTCCCTTCTCAGTCTTTCAGTAACAGGTTAGAGTCAGCCAACTTTTAGCTATAGTCCCTCCAGGTCAGCTATAACAAATGGTGACCTCTGGGTTGAAGCAGTCCTGCTTTTTGACTTGCACACTGTGTAATATATATTTTTAAATTTTTTGCCAGCATTTTTTGAAAGCCAGGAAATTTCATATAAAACTCTTCTTAACTTTTCAGTTTCTCTTGAAAAAAATGTAAAGGTCTAACGACAGAGGGCTCCTTTTCATACACAGCTAAAGTGGGCTAAGAAGAGGGTCCCCATGCCCCCAGGGGCCTATTTGCAACCCCTGTCCTAGGCTCCAGTCCTGGACCTCCACAAACATACAATTCCATGGTGTCCAAACACACAGGTATCTACTCACACAAAGGAGGCGTGGTTTCTTCTTTTGGATGATTTCTGAACTAGCACAACATGATTAGATGTCAAAACAATAGAATGACAGCTCTGGGGTTGACCCCTCAGTCTTACTTCAGACACTTGTGAAGAACAGATGAGCTGGGCTCTAAGCTTATTTGCCCAGGATTCCCTGAAAATGGTGGGCTTAGATCTTCTGAAGAAGGTGTTGTGTTTTCCAGACCTCCTGCCCTAAAATCCAAGAAGGAGGCTTGCGAAATTCTCACCTTGGCAGCCCCAATCTGCTCCTTTCGAAATTTCTCCAAGGGAGTGATGAGCACCTCGCTGGCGTTCTCAATCTGGAGAGGAAAAGCAGAGGGGTCGGGGAGGGGGACAGAGAAGCAGGGTCAGTAAAGAACCACAGCAGTGCTGGCACAAAAGGCCTCCGCATGCTTCAGTATAAGACTCAGTAAGCACAATGGTGCACGTGTCACCTCTTCCTTACACCTGACCCAACAGCATGCCAAATCAAAGATCTAGTCATCAGTTCAAAACACAGCATTCTTCCTGTGCATGAGTAAGACAGATTCTTTAAAAATAAAAATGAGGACCTCTAAAAACGTAAGCAACCACACTGATGGCAGAGCAGAACTGGTGGCAGAGTAGGGTCCAAATTTCAAGCTTCAGGTGACATCTTCTTGTAAATGCTCATTCAGCCAAGTTATATTTAAGTAGATATATTTAAAGGAGGTCAACACTGAGTCTAGATTAACCCTCCCCCCAAAAAATCCTCCACTTTTGGTGGCATGAAAACCACCGAAGCCTGATTCTGTGTAGCCCTACCTGTTCTGGACGGGGATCAGGTCGCTTGTACCTCCTGGCCACTGGCTGCTTCTCAACTTCATCTCACCGCGCTCACCCCCTCAGGTCCTGCCCTCAACTAAACGGTCACCCGAATGCACCTCAAATGGGCCAAACCTGCCCCACTTCTGAGCCTTTGCATTTGGCTGTTCCCTCAGATGCTTTGTCCCCAAATACTTGTGTGCACAACTCATTACTTATTGTAATTCAGGTCACCTCTTTAGAGAGGCCTTCTCTGACCACCAATGCAATCCAAAGAAACTTCCCACTACCCCACTTCTGAAGTGTTTTCTTCAGAAGATGTAAGCCAGCTGAAGTTTTCTGGTTCAGCATTACAAGACGTGCACATGCATGCGCACACACGCACACACACACACGCCACCCTCTTGTAAATGTTCACTTGTCTACCACCATCCCCAAAACACAGAAGAGTGCTGAAAAAAGGAGCACTCAAACATTTTTCAATGACTAAATGAAAGAACGATTTCTTGATTGCCTGCCAACTGTGTGACCACAGGCAAAACATTTAACCTCTCTGGGCTCTAATTTCCTCATCTGCAAAATGAGTGGGGTGGATTGCTCCAGCTCTAAGATTCTATGGTCTTTTCTAAGACAGCACAATATTTTACAATCTTTCCTTTTAAGTCATTCATTGCTCACTCGTCATTCAACTAATTATTTCAGGAATCCCGTCACAACAAAGCATTATTTTTCTAAATCACATGCCTATCCATTGCAATGAAACCAACAGGGTAAATGCCAGAAGCCATAGATGGAGAGCAAAGAACTAACTAGACAATGTGAGGGGTAGAAGGTGGCAGGTCTCCAAATTTATTGCCACTTGCCTTTTCTTCAATTTTGAGAGCACTTACTTTAAAAGAGAGCATTTTAACTCTAGAGTGTTGCAATGTTATTTAACTTGCTTGATTTTTATTGTCATTTGATGTCGCTTTACTGGCTCACTTATTTCAGTCTTTTCCACAAATCAAGTGCAAGTCTCTGAAACTCACAATGGAGCTCTGAGCCACTAAGCCATTGGTTCTCAACATTAGCCGAAGGTTAGGCTCACCTGGGGAGCTTTTAAAATTCCCGATGTCCAGGCCACACTCCAGACCAATAAATTAGAATCTCTGTACTTCGATCCAGGCAACAGTGTTTCTTAAACTCCCCAGTTGTTCCAGTGGACACCCGTGGGAGAGAATCCAGCCTTAACTAAATGCTAAATATACAAAAGCCCTAACTTCCCACCTGGGAATCAGGACACCCAAGTCCTTGTCCCAGTCCTGCCACAGCACGCCATCAGCCTTCAGGAGACCTCACTTTTCTTAGCTGTCAAATGAGGGACTGCACACCGTGAGGAATACGGTCTGTCTGGGTCTAAGATTCTACGACTATGTAATTTCCACTCAGTTCCAAGCACTGTGCTGATATTCGAGGCACAGCGGTCCATTCTCTGCCCTTCAAGAACTCATATTTCGGGCTTCCCTGGTGGCGCAGTGGTTGAGAGTCTGCCTGCCAATGCAGGGGACATGGGTTCGTGCCCCGGTCCGGGAGGATCCCACATGCCGCGGAGCGGCTGGGCCCGTGAGCCATGGCCGCTGAGCCTGCGCATCCGGAGCCTGCGCTCCGCAACGGGAGAGGCCGCAACAGTGAGAGGCCCACGTACTGCCAAAAAAAAAAAGAACTGACAGACACGTGCAGTGACTATCAGGACACAGTGTGGTACATGCAGAATCAGAGGCATGAACTAGACATTCAGAAAACACAAGGGATGGCCAAATATCCCATCTGGGGAGTCAGGGAAGGCTTCCCAAAGAAGGTACAGCTTTGCTAGGCTAAGCTGAATTGATGATGAAGCTGTCACAGGGTGAGGAGGTAAGGAAGGGGCTTGCGATGGCCAGATACTCAGACGCAGACAGTAGAAACTAGATCCACTGACATTAATAATAAAATTGCAGAGGCAAGCTGGAAAGTATAATCCAGTCATTGTTCCCTTACCCCAGACCTTAGCAATCTGCAGGGTATTCATCGTGATTTGCTCACCATACCCTCCACCCCCAAATAATAACTCTGCCAAGAATCAGACTCAAAAGAATCACTTCCCTTTCTGAGGCACTAGCACGTGCACAAACACACAAGCCTTCCTCTGCCTCCACCCACTACCATCCCTGCTGCTGCTGCTGCCGCCGCCGCCCTCCTGATTCTGGTTCAGGCACCCAGCAGTGAGCAATCAAGGCAAATAGCGTCTCTCTCTGCAGAGCAGAAAGTGAGAGGCTTCTGCTCTGGTTGGAGTTTTAAAGAAATGCCAGCTGCTTTGGTATCACACGCACTTGGGTTTGAATCCAGGCTGTGCTACTTATTAAACTGTGTGATCTTGGGCATGTTACTTAACAGCTGTAAACCTTGGTATCTTCATCTGGACAACGGTGATGATAAAGGTCCCACTTCACAGAGTCATCATGAGGGTTAAAGTAGAAAATGCATGGCTACATGTCTTGGGAGAGGCTGTGAACTGAACTGCATCCCCTCCAAAATTCATATATTGAAGCCCTAACCCCTGTTAAATTAAACAAGGATGCCATTACATTGAGGTGACTCTAATGCCTTAGCAGCCTACATAAGCAAACCAAAACCTCAAGGTTAAGAAACTGAAATCTAAGAAACTGAAACCAATCACAAACAACTAGACTTTCCCAAATAAGGCAACCGCTTAAGCTAGAGCCAATCAAATAATCTCCTTGCTTTGTTTACACATCTGCTATATAAAAGTCTTTGCCCTGCCTCCTGTTGATGGAGTGCTCCTAACCACTTCCGGGTTGGTTCTCCCCAATTTGAATCAATTTTTTTTTTTTTTTTTTTTTTGCGGTACGCGGGCCTCTCACCGCTGTGGCCTCTCCCATTGCGGAGCACAGGCTCCGGACGCGCAGGCCCAGCGGCCATGGCTCACGGGCCCAGCCGCTCCGCGGCATGTGGGATCTTCCCGGACCGGGGCACGAACCCGTGTCCCCTGCACCGGCAGGCGGACTCTCAACCACTGCGCCACCAGGGAAACCCCCTTGAATCAATTTTTGTTTAAATAAACTTAAACATGCCTCAGTTTATCTTTTAACACCCCCTATGTGATAGGATTGATATTTGGAGATGGAGCCCTTGGAGATAATTAGGTCATGAGGAGAGAATCCTCGTGATGGGATTAGTGACCTTGTAAGAGACAGGACAGTTTCCCCAACCTTTTCTCTGCCCTGTGAGAAAACAGCAAAGAGGTGGCTGTCTGCAAGCCAGGAAGAGGGCCCTCACCAGGAACCAAATCAGCCAGCAACTTGATTTTGGACTACTCAGTCTCCACAACTGTGAAAAATAAATGTTTGTCGTTTAAGCCACCCAGTCTACGGAATTTTGTTACGGCAACCCGAGCAGACTAACACAGTAGACTTAGTCCTGAAACCACTGGCTGTTAGTATGGGAAGAGAAGAAAAATTCTCCTTGATGACTCTTCCCTGGGCCTCTGGAGCACTGCTGCCTAGAGACAAGCCCACCTGGCGACAGATCAGCATGCAGCTTCATTCCTGATGTCTTAGGAATGAGAGGGAGGCCCCAAAGAGCTTCCTGTGGATCCAAAATCCCTCATCTATGAATGCTGAACCACATCAGAATAAAGCCTTGTACAGAAGATCTCTCTTAAGAACCTGGAGATCAGTGTTTGATTCTCGAATTTGCACACTGCCTCTCTTTGAAGAACTTCTTATAGTTCCCATCATTTACTACGTACCCCTTGATTGGATGCCTACCAACATGGCAGGCACTGCGTCAGATACCCTGGAACTAAAAGTGAAGGAGGGGCTTCCCTGGTGGCGCAGTGGTTGAGAGTCCTCCTGCCAATGCAGGGGACACGGGTTCGTGCCCCGGTCCGGGAAGATCTCACGTGCCGCGGAGCGGCTGGGCCCGTGAGCCACGGCTGCTGGGCCTGCGTGTCTGGAGCCTGTGCTCCGCAACGGGAGAGGCCACAACAGTGAGAGGCCCATGTATCCAAAAAAAAAAAAAAAAAAAAAAAGTGAAGGAGAGCTCTTGGATGGGTTTAATAAGGTGAGAAGGAGGGGAGCAGGGTGGGGCACCTTCATTCCCATTCTGCCAGTAAGGAATCTCAGGTTCCCAAAAGTTAAATAATTCAAAAGACCCACCTTAAGTCATATACTTTATATATACACCTTATAGTGAATCTTTAGGAGGACAACAATGTGGTTCTAAGTTATCCAGGGTAATCCTTTAAATATTTACAAAAGGTTTCAAACCCAGCAAGGATGAGAAGATGAGGCTTGCTCATGAGCCCAGAGCACTCAAGTGGCAGAGCCTGGACTCAAACCCTGTTCTTCTGACAACAAATCCTGTGTTCCCTCGATGTGACCACACTGTCCAGGACCAAGGGCAGCCCAGCCATACTCACCATCCGTATCCGTTCATCTTCAAGATTCCTGAGGACAGTGGCAAACTCCTGCAAAGACCTTGCTGAAAAAGAGAAAGAGGCCATGAGGTGGAAGTAGAGTGACAGGCCTTTGGGAACCCTTCCAGATACAGCTATTGTGTTACGGACTGAAATCCCTTGGCATATGCAGAGACCTAAAGACAACTCTTCCCAAGGCTCCCCTTATCTTTTCATCATTAACCATTAAGGATGACCCAGAAATGCAGGATAATCCACCGGGCACTCTAGCTAGGGAAGGGTTTCCTTCAAGGAAAAGACCTGCCTGTTCCTGAGAGAACCCAAGACTGATGGGATGCTGGCCAGCTCCCAGGCTCCAGGCTGGACCAGGCAGAGTTCCTCTTTGGAGTTCAAGGATTTCCTGCCCAGGATTTGACCTCCTCAACCTTTGTCGTGGGGTTGCGTCAGAACCCAACCCTTTCTTTGCACCAGAGCTACACAAACAACACTGCTGGCATTGGAAGCCACATCTCTGGCTTTTCCTTGGGTTCCTCCTCTCTGAGTCCTCGAGCCCCTTATTACTGCAACACAGCTGGCAGCACAGCAGTCAGATGTGGACAGTCTCTTTCGCCGGGATTATTCCAAAGGCAATAAGCATTGAATACAATAGCCCTAAGGATATTCGAGACATTCGTGTAATGCTGGGAAAAACATCTGTATAATCAGGAGTTACAACAATGATACATTTTCACCACTCTCAGCTGTCTCCCAATTCCCTCTGCTCATCCCCAGATCCTGATTTTCTGCATGCTAACAGGGAATCCATAAGCATTTGGTGACTTAATTCAATGTAACTTGCTCAACTCTTCCTCACTTAATGGAGTCAACCAAGATGCCCAATGGAAGAATAAGGTGCAATGACTAGGCCCTGACAAAGACAGGTGTCTTGACACTGCAAATCCTCTGTGCTCAGTGTTGCCCACAGAAGATGGACAGGGGATGGTGAAGAGCGACACGGTGCAGCAAAGCTAACAAATGGTAACCTCCGCTAGCAGCCTCTTGTTAAGGAAAATGCATGGGAGAGGTGGGGCCGTGACCCAGACACGGAGCTCCTCTCCCCATCCGAAGGCAGCGACGGCTACAGAGCTCTAGCCAACTGTTGCCAGGGCAGAATGAGGGGCCGGCTGCTCAGGCTCCCCAATTTTCAAAGAAGCTAGAAAACTGGAACTTTACATAAATTCAACTTCCATGGTAATTCAATTTTAAAAAATGAGCGCCCAAGAAAACATGACTGCATTAGGACCTCAGCCCATGAGCCATCATCTGCAACCTCTGATCTAACTCTTCTCCCATCTACCCGTGTTCTGCTTTTGCTCTAATTCTAAAGTACTGTGGTTGGGGGAAGAACGTTGCAGAGCCAGCCAGAAGCAGAACGCTAACAGAGGGCGGAGACAGGAGCCCCATAGCGAACCTTCCCGCTTTCTCCTGCAGGCCGCAGGGTGAGAGCCACTGCAATCCCAGGGCTCTGAGGAGAAGCCCTGGAGAGCCCCGGGCCCTGACCTTCACTCAACTCTGCCCGCTCCACTCTTAATACTGACTTCTTAATTTACAACACTTACATACTCCCTATTCCAGGGGAAAGACTGAGGGAGGACACTGAAAGCTGTGGTACACAGTGGACTTTTTAAACTCCTGCATGTGGTTATAACTTACCTATGCACATTTCATCATCTGTTTCTGCATCTCCTATGCACTGAAACTTAAATTCATTTAAGGAATCTGCAAATTTCCGCTTCGCTGAAGACAAATCTAGCAAAAAAGAAAAAAAAAAAGAGTAAAAAATACGAATTACTGAAATAAACCTGCTTTCATGTTTCCTGCACTTTTTAGTCCTTTTACTAATACAGCAGCTAGCAGATCTGTTCCGGAGTCTATCTCAGAGCACAAAAGAATGTAAATTCAAAAGAGTGAATACTTGTTTATAACATGAAATAATTCAGAAGTTAATATTTTTGCTACATTTGCTTTAACAAGTCTGGTCCTCACTCTCTAATTCCTCAGGCTACGCATCGAGTCCTGCCGCCTCCAGCTGACACCCCTGGGGGTCAGTGAAGCTGCCCTCACATGAGACTCAACAATACCTCCACCCCAGTGCCACGCACAAGGGAGCTGGCACAAAGGGCTTGGAACTTCACAGGAGCAACCAGACCACCCCTTCCGACTCAAGGACGCGGGAGGCCCGAGTTCTCAGAACCCTCTGGGCTCCACTCAAAGCAGAGCAGCCGCCAACCTGACGAACCTCCACTTGAACCAGTTTCCTGGGTCACCTCGTTCCACCGCTGCCCCGAGAATAAAGCCCTGGCACTGTTCTGAGTTGGGGTGAAAACACACCCCACACATGGTATCTATAAAGAAGCCTCCTGGAGGCCCTTGTCAAATTTAAAAAATAAGCTTTCATTTAAGACAGTAATAAAAGCCAATGATCCTTCCTGAACCCTCAGCTTCTGTTAAGGGTATAAACCACCGAGGCACCTTTAAGTGGCCTGACAGACAAGGCTGCTAGGCACAAACATGCTAACTTAATTCCACATGCAGCCTTCCTGCAGATGAGGCTAATCATTCAAATTACCCTCGGACATGTTTCCCTCACTGAAGGGGAAATGGCATTATGTTCCAATTCCCAGAGGAGGGAAAGATGAGGCATAACCGGCAACGAGGTCTGGCTTCAATAAGGTGCTGGGGGGAGCGGAGGGCGGGGATTCTGGCTTCCCAGATCAACAGAGCCTCTTGGAATATAAGCATCCACGATCCTCAGCCCTTCTCTTCAGCTCTTAGATTCGTCCCTCGAGGTTAGGGGTCACGGTTTTTCCATCTGCTGGTTTGTCTGTTTCCTCTCCAGGTACCTGGCACTGCACCCTGCTCAGTACATGATGAATAACGCGCGTGTATGGAGGAGGGGGCTGGGGGACTGTACACAAATCCAGCTGCCAGTGTTGAGTTCTCCGATCCCAGTGTCCATTCCAAGCAACGGTGCCAGTGGAAGAGCCAGGCAGGGCCATCCTGCTGTTCTCAGGTCTGAGGCTCCGACCACCGTATGGATACCAGGGGCTCCTGCTCCGGGACCACCCTCCCAACCTGAGCTCGGGTGACGCGGGTCCCCAGCTAGCCGTGGCTTGTGCAAGGAAGGCCCTCTGCTCGCTCGACACCAGAAGAGGAAGGCACTTGGAGTGGAGGAGAACACAGGAGCCAACAGCCAGCAGTCTCTGGTCTCTCCCTGGTTCGGTCAATTTAATGGAATGGTTCTTGGCCAGAAGTCCAAAGATGCCGACAGGGGAATCAGGCATCTCTTAAGACTGGCCAACCCAGGCTGAGGAGATCCCCAAGAACACACATCAGTCCCTGGCAAGTCAAGAAAGAAACAGATGCATCTGAAAGTCAGAACACTGTGGGGAGGAAGGACAGGGGCGGCCACAGGCAGGCAGGAAGAAAATGAGGGAGAATAATCTTTCCCAGACAAAGACAAAGTCCTCCGAGAGGCCCCACGTGTGGGCTGCATGGTACTTAGTCTTGGGCAGGTGGTACTCAGTCTTGGCTTTGCCAGAATGTTCCCCTGATCAGAACTCACAGAGAAAGGCCTGAGCAAAGAGTAACAACAGGACTGCTTCTCTATCCGTTCAGCAACCCCCCTGTGCCTCCCCAATAGGGCAAGCAGGACTCAAGCTGGACCATCTTCTCAACAAAGTGGAAAAAGAGAGAGAAGTCAGCCAGGCTTGGGAAAGTTCCCGGCACACACCTGAAAAGCCATGCTGCCAGGGGCAGCTGCCAGGAAGGATCAAGGAGTGGCCCATAATGCACGGCGGGGCCTCTGTGGGGCCTTCCACAGCAGGCCCACTGAACCGGGAGCAGGCCCGTTAGCGTACAACCAGAAGGTAACCTGATTCCCTGTGCGGTGGCACACAGCACACCCCGAGAAGCGCTGTGGGCCCCACGAAGCCGATAAAGAGGCCAGTGCCCTGGATGGGAGATTAGGTAACGAGTCCTGGTATGGAGTCAATACTGGGCTGTGGGCCCAGGAGGACAGCTGGGTAGAGTGAGAAGCCCAGTTACTGGAATCTGAAAAGGAACTCACCATGGGCTTGAACGACACATGCCAGACACAGCACTCTCTGGGTAAAGGTACAGTGGACACCTGCTGTTTCCTTATTCAGCATTACTCCCCGAACTTAGGAACATCATCTCCAGCTTGCTTTGGAGAACCTCCCTTCTCCACTTGTGTTACATGGGGTCCTGGTTCTACACTGGTCAACCCCTTCCCCAGCCCCTTGCCCTCACCCCAACCTCCACTGGCCCCTGGGTTCGAGTTGCAGCTCCAACATTTACCAGCTATGGAGCTAATCCTGGGTTAGTCATAAAGTCTCTGTCAACTCACCTCACAGAAGTTGTCACCCTCTGAGTGAGGAGACCCACCGAAGCTGCGGGGCTGCCAGGATAGCCAGCGAGACACATGGGGGAAGCACTCTGTACACTGTCAGCTTCAGTTCTGTTCAAGGATGGGCTACTCTTCCTTAATGCATTAGTCCTCCAGTAACAGGACCCAGGGAAGGGAAGCATGATTACTGGTACTGAGAGCTCAGAGAAGTTAAAGGACTGACATAAGAGCACACAACCTCTAAGAAGTGGATCTGCAACTCGACCAAGTCCTCTGAACTGAGGTCCCTGTGGGCACACCAGGCTGCCTCACCCCATTCAGATCAACTCCTCTCCATTACTTGGGACAACAGAGAGGACATCCAAAAGAGAACACCCAAGAGCCACTGCCTCTTGGCTACTGCCACCCAGTAAGAGTGCTGGCATCCTATGCAGGTGATCATGTTGGATATGCAGCTGCACAGAGACTTCTTTCTGGAGCCTTTCACTCCGATGCTCACAGGAATCTCACATGCACATTCCAGTAAGAGGAGAGGAGAAGGCGGGGAGGCTGGCGCTGGGTGCATGCCAAGCTCCGTGGCCCCCTGCTCACATAACCCCACTGTTTCATGTTCAGGCAGTGCAAGACACAGCGAGCAGCCAAGCAGAGGCAATAATATTTACTTTGCAGAAACATCTGTTGCTAGAAAGGCAGAATGCTGGCCAGAGTGGGGAGAAGGCGTGACTGGCAGCCTCTGGGGAGGACAAGGATCTGCTTTACACAGTTAAGGAGGCTCTGCCGCTAAGTGAGGAGACCAGGCGGGTCGGGATGTGGAAGCAGCTGGAAGTCTGGGCCCTGACGGGCTGCTCCTAAAGCTGCCTGCTCACTGGGGGACCAGAGAAAAGTGCCCTTCTCTTCCTGGAGATGCCATGCTCTGCCACAGCAGACACTAATTCTGCAGAGTTTAAGAGAGTAAGCCAAGCATAAACCTTTCTTTCACCAAAACAGCTGGTTTATCCTAATTTTTGTTTTGTTTTGTTTTTTTTGCGGTACGCGGGCCTCTCACCGCTGTGGCCTCTCCCATTGCGGAGCACAGGCTCCGGACGCGCAGGTTCAGCGGCCATGGCTCACGGGCCCAGCCGCTCCGCAGCACGTGGGATCCTCCCGGACCGGGGCACGAACCCGTGTCCCCTGCATCGGCAGGCAGACTCTCAACCACTGCGCCACCAGGGAAGCCCTATCCTAATTTTTTAAGTTAGAATATACCTTGATTTACACAAGCTTTACCAGTAATAGCACCAGTCAAGCCACTTCCTTTTTTTCCTTTGGTAAAACTTAACACACATGTGCACAAACACACAGGCTCGTGAACACGCATATAATGAAGGACTCAAGGTAACCTTACAATTATATTTATTTTCAGTGCATCTGACCTCCAAAGTTACCAAGATCGGATATAACGACCCTTAAAACGTTTTGCTACTCTGTCACATGTTCCTGGACTTACAAACTGATTACAGTTAAAAAAGACCAACTGCCGAAAGAAGCACTTGAAAGAGGATTGGCCTCCTGGCTGCTTAAAACACAAGAACACCAAAGTGCCTAGGCCTTGTTAATGTCTCCCTTCTCTGAAAGCCAAATTACACTTACACTCTGTGCCCCATCACCCTGCATTTAGAATGACTCTGGAACTATTCATGAGTGGTATCACAATGCACAATGAGTGCCTAGGACAGGGCTGAACAAGGTAGCCCTCAAAAGCCTGTTGCATCCATCTGATTGGCCACAGCAACACAACTTGGCTTGTCTGGAGTGTCTGAGATTCCCCAGATGAGAGGACCCACGATGAGGGCTGAGAGGTGGACGTGAGCCCGAGAGGTTACAGCTTTTCCCCACAAGCCCCATTCCCAGGTAAAACTCAACACACTCAAAATGAAATTCTCTCTCCCCTCCTACCGGCTCCCCAGAGAGCCAACCAAGGGCCCCTTCCTATGTCCTTCATTGGGCAAAGGGCACCATCATTCATCCTGCCACACAAGTCAGAGTCAGACACCCACATGCATCGTCCTTGACGGCAACGGTGTCCTTCCCAAGTCTGTCCATTTTGCCTCCTAAGTATCTCGGTTCTGCACACTCCATCACTACCAGCAACCCCTAAACCAAATACCCCCATTGCCTGGATAACTGCAGTTGCCCCTCCCTGGTCTCCCCACATCCACTTTTGTCCCTCCGGCAGTTCTCCACCCAATCGTGTCGGCTCCAGCAGTGAACACTGCGACGGTTTCCCAGAGCTCTAAGAACAAAGACCGAAGTCCCTTCCAAGGCCTGAGAGGTCCTGCAGGGTCTGGGCCACCACCTCCCAGTGGGCTCTAGAAACCCTGGCCTCTGCCAGTTCCTGGAA